ACCAGTTTTTTTCGCGTAGTCTATAAACCCCCAAGGATAAGCACATGCTTGTAAAGTTTACACTGGTTTTTCTGTGAATATACACTGAATATGGCTCCCCTGTCTCTTTAAATGAGATTGAAAGACAAGCAAAAATGTCATGGATGGAAAAACAGACATACCGGTATTACATTGTCCAAGACATTAATAGGTACGCTGGTCTCCGTTTTCGTATCGCAGTCACCCTAGACATTATACATCAGTCGTCAGAAGTTTGAAAGGTGGTTAACACGACCTGCAGGTCCCAAATCTATCTGTATATGAATGACTCAGTATTATGGCTGGAACTTGCGGTGGCAACGGAGGCACGAGTGCAAACTTACAACACGCGAATGTTGCCTTCTATACTTATGGCTGTGTCCGAAACGGGCTTGCAGAACTACGGCTAGGTCTGTTGTCTTTGCGTCTCCACGTACTTTCAAGGGAGTGAAGACCTAGAACTAGCTTTACAGACAACAGATTCGGATGCAGCCTGAGTCTAAGAAGTAACAACTCAACTGATAATCCGCTTTGAGCGGAACAAAAGGGCCTAAAAAGGTTTTTTTTTTGGGGGGGGGTTCTCACCATAGACATAAAACTGATGCGTGTATGTCTGTGGTACCACCGCATAGGTGTGCTATGAGGCGCGCAAGTATATGTGCGTTTGACGCGGAGCACGATGAGTTCGCGGATGTGAACTGAATCTGCTTGCCCTGAAGAAGGTACTCAGTTACCGAAAGAGCACTTACTTCAGAGAACTTATTTGATATTATATTCTTGTCGATATGCTGATCACAGTGCTACGCAGCCCTTCCATATTAATTTTAACTAATTTATCCGGTTCTTAAGTGGGGTGTCACTTCAGTTCAAACCACGCCCACTGCACATGCCCTGCACACTTTGCACGCTTCGATCGCCGTTCACATGGAACCGTGAAACCGGAAGCTAACGCGCAACTTCAGCGATTGCGTACATGAAGAACGCGTGCAAGAACCCGCTTGTAACCACCTGTCTTTCTTTCGCCGACTGGGGGTGCACTTTAGCTCGGGGCGGTATGCATGAAGTCACACCGAAAACCATGAAATTAAAAACAAATTCCAGCGTGAGCGACTATGACACTTGAATAAAGTGAATAATTAGGGCTCTAGTGTATTCGTGGGACCTGAAATTCTCGCATTTTTACGATCTTAACTTGTCTTGATAATTTACAACTTTTCAATAATTAGACCTATCGTTGTACATTTTCCAGCGGCTTTCCAGCTTTGCTGGAAAATGGCTAGGCCGTGATTCGAAATGGTTAAAATCTCCTATAAAGGGCTGTATTTTTTTTATTTTCAGGCTCTTTTATGGGCCGAGCGGCTGCCAACAGAGTAGGACATGTAACCTATAGGCTGCATTTTATAACAGGCTTTTGGACTTTGACGCTCTGCACACTTCAGCAGATTGCTTGAAGGAAAAAAACACACAAATACACACACCCCCACACCTAATTCGGTGTTGGCGTGAATAGTTGAGGGAAACCAGTGGTCCGAATAAAGTTTACCCCTTTTGTCACATTGGTGATTCCTCATGCGGTATGAAATTCCTATTTTCCTTTATCATCATTTTTTTTGTTTCCCTAGTGAAAAAAAACCTTGCCAAATATGACCTTGGTGACTTAATCATGTAAGCTATGCATTTTAAGTTCGTACCTTCTCACAAATCAAACGACACCTCTACTTTTATTTACGCACTGGACACCGAGCAAAGTTTTATGCAAGCACAAAATCGAAGGCCGAAGTGATATCCTATTTCGATCAGAAATCGATGCACTGCCTTCATTTCAGTCTATGCCATTACACACATCAAAGTTATCAGTCATCCGTTGGCTCTCATCCGTCAATGGCGATGTCGCTTGCGTTGATCAAAATTAAGCAATTTTCGCCCAATCTACTTGCTACAGTTTTCATGTTTGATCACCTGAACAGATCATTCCCCATACTGACCAAAAACACAAATCCCTGATGCCAGAATGGACCAACGGCGGAGCTAGAATTCAATTATTTGTGCTAACATTATGAGGAACTTTGCGATAATTTTGCAGGCAACCTTCGATAGCCTTCATGAGGGTTTGGGCTATTTTGGTGCTGTCTAAACGCTTTTGGAAAGATGTGAACGGAAAAGACCATCAAATCGCCTTTCCTTGTTAATTTCTTTTCTTTTTTTTTTGGTGTGGGATGTGCCCCCTCACCCCGTCCAAGATCCTCCTTCGTGGTCGACATGTGCAGTAGGTCAATGATTGTTTGCTTCTCGAATAAAATTGCTACAAGATTCCCGGGTATGTTGGTGACTTCTTTAATCCCAGCAGTTGATTGTTTCAGAAGTAATGACGAGGCTCGTCGAACACTGATTAATTTTCCATACCACAAGTTTACGAAACGGATGGTTGGTGTTGAGATTTCACCCGTCAGCGGAAACGCGGATAACTGCAGCATGCCCAGTTATACTACAGAAAGGATTTAGTGTCTGAATATGGTCAAAAGTTATCAAGTTGTATGACTTTGACATGCGTGCAACCGCATGTATTTCAGATTAAGGCTTTTGTTGTGGGTTTTTGTGCTAAGCACAGTTTTGCTTGAAGGCTTCAAAAGAACCTGCAGTCTACGTAATTTGTGGATGGCAGGTATGTTAGGTGTTTCTCTCAAGCCTGTAAGAAGTGACCTGAAATGGAATTCGGCGCTGAAATGGACGCATTCATATTGCTGTTCAGGAATGTACTGGAAAATTTCTGTCTGAAGGTTTAGTAATGTCACCCCATGGTTGGACCGTCGGCAGGAATGTATAAGTTTGGTCCGACGTCAAGCACGTACAACTCGTGGTTAGGACCACGACTTGGTCGATTTTAATTCAAGCCTCCGCACCAAAACACGACAGGGCAGGGAGGAGGGGGTCAGGAGGGGTTGTAACCACGTGACTAAAAGGGAAGAGAAAGCATGAAAGACGCAGGGCACTAAGCCCGAAGACACTTTGCATTAACGCCGCCACAGCCTTGCGATCAGACCTGTCAACCACTGAGAAAAATTAATACCCTGGTCGGACAGAATGGCGGCCTGTCACAAATCCATCAACTGTCTTCGAAATCAAGAACAAAATCAGGATATTTTATGAGACCAATGCTGCGTTTAATATATATATACATAAGATATAAATTGGCCAACCAGACACAGCCGAAAATGTAAGGAAGACAAATAACCTAGAAAATTAACGCCATCAAAACAGAACGTCAATTTTTCTAAGTAATTAAAGAGTATCGTCAGTCGCATTCATCCGCACGGAAAAGAAGTCAGGCCAAACAAAATGCATTTCAGCCTATCACGAAAATGACACTTGTTAATGCCCAGACCTAATTTCAAATTGTCTCTTATATAATAAATCTACAACAGCCAGTTTCTTCTCTACTATAGCTAGTACCAATGTCCCCTCGGACTTGGCCCCAACAAACTCGTCCGTGCAATGACGGTTTTTTAAACAGATTTTTGGAACTTAATTTAAATAACCAGAAAACAACATTTTTCATTGTGCGTGGATTCCTTTCAGGGTTAAGACAAAGAAAACCCTGTTGTATGTTTTGCACCAGGAAAAAAAGATTGATGTGACCTCTCTGGATATCACCAGGGAGGGTGGTACTATTCAAATAGAGGGCGCTATTACAAAAAGTCGTCCACACCTTTCATCTTCCGTTGAAATAGGGAATCAGCTTTTGGGTTTTGGATAAGGAAGCTGGATTTTCCTGAGGCTGAACCATACATCAAGTATTGCAAATCAGCAAATCTTCACTTTGCGACTTCACAGCCTACGTGTAAGGTTTTTTTCTATTGGCTATACAGGGCTTTGATTATACACGCATGTCATGAAAACACTGACCCTATCGCCATGATAATTTCTACATTGAGGTGATTGGCGTGCGCTTAATGCTATTAATCATCTCATGTGAAATAACAAACCTAACCATCGATATTGCAATTAAAGTTAAATACAACACGCATGATCAAAAATAATACTGAGAGTTGCTGAATTTGGAATCTTGACTTCTGACGTATTCAAATATCTATCTTAAACAGGTTGAAACGTGCAGTCTTCCTGAGACTTTCACCCAGATCAAGTTTTCATCTGGTCTTGTACGGTGCGTGGAATAGTCGTCGGTAAAAAATCTCTGGAATATTTCCCTTTTCGTTCCACGTTGTGCAATCTGCACCATAAACCCAATGTTTCAGTCTGGGAAAAGTCTACCCCACGGGCGCTTTGGTAAAAGACCTCACAATCATCACTATACGACTTAAAATCTACAGTATTCGTTGTGTTTCATGAGTACGTTCCGGAGGCCATTACAAATGCTTTTAAGACTTTAAACTAAGTGCACGTTTCAAATAACCCAACGAAGAAATTCTAAGTGTGTTCGTCAGCTCTAAAAGACTGAATTATCCATTTATACGCCCAGTACACTTTCAATGTCACATATTTTAAAACCGGAAGTGTTGAATCCAACAATGACAATGGTTCGTGACCTCTCGTTGAAAGTGTTGAATCCAGCACTTTATGTGCTGCACCCAGCATTGAAAAAATATTAAATCCAGCAATTATATTGTTAATTCAACACTTTCAAATTGGACAATATTGAAGTAACATTTCAGTTGTTAATTTAAGAGTATAAATGTTGTATTTCATACTTAATATACTGAATTCAGCACATAAAATGCTGGATTTAACACTTTCAAAGAGTGGTCACTGACCGAACTACTCTACGTATTGGATTCAACACATTACTTTTTAGAGTGTGCCTATATTTCATACGTGGTACTGACATTACAAAAACGTACACACCCTTTGGTATTCGATCTCGATAAACAAACCAAAAACAAAACAGAAATGAAACACTATAAATATATAGTTTTGGAAGCTGAAATAAAAGGTAAAATAGACCATTCAACAAAAGATTTTTCAGCTTTTCGAGAACTCCCATATGCGCTTTTTATAAAGACCTAAAATGAACATAAGCTTTGAATTTGAAGGGAAGTACATGGGTTATGGAAATTCAATGCTGAATATACTTTCGGTTTCTTCCTTCTTACATGTACCCATGATATCCTCAAAGATGCCGGCTTTTACACGGAATCACCATACCTCTTCAATGGAATATGGATACTTATCAAGAAAGAGCAATCTTGAATGCATTCTGTTCGGTCTTCATAGTGTTTGATGCAAGCATGATTAATTAATTAAAATAGTGGCAATCGCAGTACGTAATGTTCTTTGTTTTAAGAGCAAAAGTTTTGGCGTACTGCATATAGATTTCATTTACCAGTATGTCGGATACAGCAACTATTATTTGATCCTCGGTGAGAGGATCTAAAAAGGTCTTTACTGCCCCGTGAAAACACGTTAAAAACATATTCCTTAATCAATTGCTGAACTCTGGCCTAAATAGTTTCCCGAATTTTTCACCTCTTTCTCTGTACGTGCTTTCTGGTTTCCAGAAAAAAAGTCGCCGTGTGCAAGCAGCTGAGGGTGGTATGTTTAATAATATGGAGTGGTATCTTCACTGAACCACACAACGGGTGCGGTTCAGCAAACATATCGTTGTTTACACCGTTACTCCACTGCCTCGTACGCAGGGTTCGTCTTTCCTTCAACTTCGTTCACCTCGGTGAAATCGTCCGGTTGCGAGGCGTTTGAGCCACTGCCGGCCTGGCTTGTCGAGGGCTTGTCCCAGTCTATGTTGGTGTCTTCAACTTTGGGCATGACAACGCCCACTGTTTTCAGAACAAGTATACCAAATGATTGCGTTACTCAACGGTTGTGGTCCGGGGGAAACTAACTGTGAAGGTCATAGCTCTCATAACTTTTCGAACTGAAACCAAATGATTGTTCCTGAGGAACACTGAAGTTCACTCATACAATACTAGGTCAGCAGCCAAGTTTCACATTGCAAAGGCAAGAACTACAATATTTCTTAAAACAGTTCGACATCAAGGTCCTTTGCTCTGGAAAAAAATCACCCCAATACCATACTTTAGAAGTATACATCGTTTTAAAAGGTACTTGAAGAATATCCTCCTTTCCAGTGTAATGTAGTTTATTTACCCTGTATTGTACATGTATTTTGTGTACGCATATGACATCTACTGTGCATTTATAACCTTAATAATGAAGCAGTCATGTCTAGCATTGTAACATTCCTAAGATGTTATAACAAAGAAAATTTTGCTTAATTCTAACGTTCAGCTGTACCTTCATTTATCTTACTCTCTTCTTCTGTTTTTAGTAATTCTAGCCTCATGTCTCAATTCTAGCCAAAATGGTCCTATGCCACTTTTCGATTTGTCAAAAACTCTCACATTTTCAAGTAATCGAGGAAACGAGGGTTTGACTCTTACCGATGGATTGCTTGTGCTTAAGTTTCGCGATCTTGTCCCTCTCTTGCTTCTCTCGCGTGTTAATAGTAACGATCGAGGCGATGAAGACCATGGTCAGGCAGAAGAAGAAGATTGCCATGGCTGTTAAGCCGTACTTGAAGTTAGTCAGTGTGGAATCCAGAATGTCTTCATTCGTTGGCCCTGCAGGGAAGTGGAAAATTGAGTCAAACCAGCCGTAAATGTGACGTTTGAATTTAACATTTAATCTTGACATTGGCCTATCAAAAATAGAGACATAGCTATTTCTTACTAGGGGATATCTCCGTTGACTAAATTGATTGTTCTCAGATCTGAGCATTCAGATTATTTTTTTAAAGGGATAGGGCATTTGTTTTCCGAGTACAATAACTGATAAATAAATGATAACCACCAGTAATCCTACATGCAACGGGGGGAAGCACAAGTGCCTCTTGGAGAGTTTGTGATACCTCACGGCTGTTGTCGACCACAGAGACTGAACCTTACCTGTGAGGAAGGTGTAGTTGGCCTTGAATCCCGAATTTTGGATAACGTAATCGGACTTAAACTCGAGAAAGAGGAAGTTAGAGCTCGACGTCTGCTCGAAGAAGAACGTGTTTGGTTGGTTGGTGCAGAACTTCACCAGCTCTGGGGAGTTGGCGTCTGGGCCGTCATAGACGGTTAAGCTGTCGTAGCAGCTTCCTTCAGGGGATGTCTCCAGCAGGACTGTGGTCACGTTCAGCTGGATCTTGATGCCTTCTGGAGCCTGCAGCAGTGTGGTACAGTGAGTGTTTGGAGGGTAGTCGAACGGGTATTTTGGCGACGCGACTTCACCAGGAGATGTCGTCTTGGTATCCTCGCAGTACCACTCTGGTGAACAAAACACAGTATCAATACTGACTTACGCCGAACTCGAGATAACAATCAAAATGGGCAGAAAAAACACTGAAACACCAAAACGGGATAGCCAGCAATAAATTAAATTAACACGATAGGCAAAAGTAGCATCTTACAGAGGACATGTCACTGGTTAAGAAATTGAAGAATTGCCCAGAACTTTCTAATGTGTTTATAGTTAAGAAAAAAGGTCATCACGAATGTAAACGGAGCCTGAACGAGAGGCCTACCTGCAGTGTATTCTGCCAAGAAGCCATACTTGGTCAGGTCGCTCGAGTAAAACTCTACCCTCGCCATGCCCGACGTGACCCTGAAGGTTTCGGGCAACTCATTTAAGCAAAAGGCTGCCGCCACGGGGCTGGACACGTCCACTCCCGACCGGATCATCACCATGTTCATATTCCCAGCAGTCTTACACTCCTTCGATTCTTCCTCGAAAGATCGCACGCCAACGAAATAGAACACGACCGAGTTGTAGTTCTCTGGGCTGGCGGGCTCGATGTTCCAGATGAACCAGCTGCTTTCGGGGGTGCCCTGTTCCAGCATCCAACGAGGTGTCACCAGGAAGTTATGGCGCTGGTCGAAAGTCATTTCTTTCACACCGTCTGGACAGGGGATAGAAATAAATTCATACAGACCCATGATAATCACTTACTTTACGGGAATGTCTGGAATACAAACGAAAAGAAGAAAGTGCATTTTGCAAATTTCTTTTTGCCTGATTACTGGAAAGGACCGCTTTTAAAGTGGCGTAGCCGGGGAGGGTTTTCTGGGGAGCATGTGCCCCCCACAAATTCCTGGTGCCCCCAGGTGCCGCACCCACTAAAAAAGGGATGAATGGATACTGAACAAGGATAATAAAAGTTTTCTCCCAAAAACCACACCACCGAAAGCTGGTGCCCCCCCCCCAAAAAAAGATGCTGGTTCCCCCCGTGCCCCCACTAGTAAAATCGTAGTTACGCCACTGGCTTTTAAGCCACAACCTTTCGTTCTCCATCAAGTTTAAACTCATTCAGAAAGGGGTACGTAGTGAAGTACCAACTCCACAACCCAACGATACAGAAACTTAGAGGGCGGGCCACTTACACGCAGATGGTGTTTGAAGTTGGTAATGCATCCGGCTGTCGTTCGGCCCCCTGTCGTAAGTGTCGACTGTCTCGTCAGTGAGGTAGCACACCAGCTTGTCGCCCACCTGCTCCGTGTCGAAGGCGAAGCAGTTGAAGTCCAGTCGGTTGATACAATGCATGGCGCACTCTTCATCGTTGTCCACGTCGAAGCTTGCCACCGAGGAGTTTAGCCACTTGCCCGGCATGGGATCGAAGTATTTACCGTAGGTTCCTGAAGGTCGTCGAGTGAATTATGTAAGGAAAGACAGGGTTGAGTTCCTTTCTCCCATCCAAACAAGTTCGTAGTGAAGCAGTGCTACCACGTAGTTTTAGTTTTGAAATAAGCATCGATACCACAAAACCACTTAATCGCCACTTTCGCAAATCCAGAGAGCACTTCGTTTCACTGCTTAGCAGAAAAGATAAGGTTCCTCATAATGACTTCCATTTCCGAGCAAAATTCAGCTCACCATAGCCAGGCAAACCTTAAAAGTTGATTGAAGATATATATTCTTTATAATGCAAAGATAAATGCGGTCCCAGAACCTAGATTCAAAACTTCCAACAATTTTTTTTTCTATTTATAAAGGCATGCAAAGATACCAGCCGGAGCCGTTAGGAAATAAGTATATGCATTGTTCTTCACTGGGCGCATCACGCTGAAGTAATCGTCATCATCTGACTAACTTTGTTGGACATCAAAAACACCAAAATGCATTAAAGCTTCAAATTAAGTAAAAGACCGCGTAGTCCGAAGCACCTAGCAATGCTTACCGCATTGATACTCGTCATGTTTGAAGAAGCAGTTGTCTCTGCCATCGCATCTTACGGCATGGGATAGGCAGAGGAGCCCTTGGCACATAAATTCATCCATCTGACAGCCATTGTCGCCATATTCTAAAAAAGGGGCGAAATACCCACCAGGAATAGTTATCGATAATTTTTCATTATAGGCGCCTTAAGGGGAGCTTTTCAAGGGGCTGGAATGCTGAAGTCATCTCCTATGTGACCCTTTATCTCCACTGAGCATAGGCGCAATGGCGCCTGCATCTCTTACCTCTATATAAACTCGTTACTTTTGCTACCTTTAGTTCATTCATTATCGTATTAGGAGAAAACTAAAGTTACAACTTTGTTCCGGGACACATACATTAAAATAGCTATTCAAACGATATATGCAAGACGAATATCACAAACCCATATCTTCGTGGACACGCAATTATCTAGAAATGTTATACTCTTTGCAATAATCGTTGTTCTAAATGCAGGACTGTCAGAAACAGATGACTTACTTTCTGTTGGGCCAGTGACTCCGTTACTATCGAATATGGGTTGTAGCCATTCTTGGAAGGCTGATACACGCGTGTAAACACCGGGGTACTCTGGTTGAGCACATCCATAGCCCCAGCTTACAATACCCGTTTGGAACCAGCGATTTTGGAAGCTTCCTTCAACGGGATTAGACACCATTGGACCACCACTGTCTCCCTGTAAAGGATAACAGAGCATTTATTCAAGTATGTCGCCAACTAGAACCCCTTTTAAATTAAAAATATCAACAACCTCTTTAAGTTCCCATCTCGGTTTAGTTGCAATAATCCTGAAGTATTTCACAGACTGCGATAACCGAATGTCCACGTTCGGTTATCGAGTTTATTTCCGCAACGTAAACGCACACAAACCTCGCCCACATGATACAGTGTGTACATTATGTAGAAGAATACTTACTCATAAAGAATGAAAAATCCAGCGGAGGGGAGTGAAACTCACACTTCCTCAAATAAAAATTTGCCTTATTGGTGCAATGTCGTTTCTTTCCTTGTTCTTTAAGTCTTTCACCCCCCCTCCGTTTTATGTTAGGATTTTCCCGGGGGTCTGGGTGTGGCTTACTTGGCAAGAATCTTTGCCGCCTTCCTCCAGTCCTGCGCAAATCATACGCTCAGTGATGTTTTCCGCCGCGTAATATTCTTGGCACGCCTTCTGGCTAACGATAGGTACGGTCACCTCGTAAAGATCAGGGCTCTGCGCACCTGTTAAAATAAAAACGTTAGAAGGCATCACTCGGAAATGAGAAGAAGTTGGAGACTGTAAAAAAAAATGTGCACACCATTTAACAAAACGATACTCTGCTGTACATGAATATGAACATACCGCCTTGCTGTCGAGTTCCCCATCCCGTGATGGTGGCGAGCGTTCCGGCTGGAAATGAGTTGTTCTCGCCCATGTCTTCGGTGGGCAGACACACCGTCTGGACGTAGTCGGTCAGCTCCACTTGTTTGCTGAGCTTCATCACGGTGATGTCCCAGTCTGTCGTTTCGGAGCGCCACGTGTATTTGGGGTGCATGTACACCTCAGACACCCCCATGATCTGTACGTTCTTTGAGAAGTCGGCAACCACTGTCGTGTTCGTCCCGAAGACTTGGTAGTGGATCGAAGGGTCATTTAAAACGTTTCTGTTGAATGGATGACAGGTTGATATATGCATGACAGTCACGGCAGAGAAATTCGATTCAGCATTTGAGACTAGGGACCCAAAGTGGCAAATGTTGTGTCAAAATTAGGTTCCAAAAAAATAAGGCTCCAGATAAGATGACGACAAACATCCCAATTAAGGCTCTTTGTTTTGCTTGTTTGGCATCAATATTCTGTGCAAAGAGCGAATATTTCTCGGATGTGCGCGTCCCTTGAAAAGGCTGGACAGTACTAACGTGGCTCCTTCAGAAAACGTTTCAGGGCTAATTTGAATAATGAAGCTAGGGCGCAATATAAAGTGTTGAAACCGATAGATTTACAAAAATCAGAAAAGCCAATACATCAAAGTCATTTATAGAGACAAATTACAAAGGCATAATATAAAGCATTTTATGGTTGCTCAGATTTCTAGGTGCATACCTGATCAGCCTTGAAAGAGCAAAACAGAACGCTTCTACCTTCAATGGCGTATGAAGATTTTTTTCTGGAAAAAATCATTACAGCGCCAAAGGAGGGTGATTCTTCAATTGGCGCTTTCAGCTCCGAATGGAATAGCAATACACCATTTTCCCCTTATGTCGTGCGCGCAAGGTTTGTTGGACAATTTGCAGTTGAAACTTTCGACAGCCAGAAGCAAAGATCAGTAATGATAGAGTAGACCCTTTGGAGTAAGATTTTCCCAAACACCCGCAAGGATTCTTGTACTTACATGCAGTGGGCCGCGGTTAGAATCCACTGTTTATGGATTAAAGAGGCTCCACACCTTGCACTGCCATCTGCACTCTCGGGATGGTATCGCCAGGACTTGGCCATCCACGGCCAGTCCCCTTCGTTTGATGGATCCCCACCCACAATCCTCGATTTATCGAGTGGGATCCTTCCACATGTATTGAAATCTGTTTTGAAATTTACACGAAAAAACTGTTAATTCTGTTGTCCTTGGCGTTTGTTCCAAGTCCCATTCAACAATTAAACCTGGGCACATAATATATAACAGCTTGTTCTAGACTATATATTATTGTGGTGATGGAATTATTAACCCTAACAGTCCTAAATCCTTCACCTGTTGGAGGATTGAGGACTGCTAGGGTTAAGCAAGATATGGTTTTAGTTAATTTTCGCAAAACATTTCCTGAACTTCAGCAACTGTCCCAGATTACATAGCTTTGTGAGTACGGAAAAAACAGTGTTGATAAAAACAAAAACAAAACGAGGGGTGACGTTATTTTGGTCGAAATTCTGAGGCACAGGATTTTAATGAAACTGTTTTGTGTAAGACGCATCACGTGGCCGCTTTTGACCAATAAGCTCCCCACCCCAAAATAAGACACATCCATGCTCTTCCTTTTAAATATGAACTACGGCCACACCCTCTTGCCCCACTAAACTCTGTTGCCGGAACCGCACTTTGAAAACTTTTTATTTCTCATTTACCATCATGCATGATTCAGTCAAAATAGACATCCTTTTTATGAACGGTAGTATTTTTGTACAAATTTGCATGACTGAAGACTATCGTTTTATAACTTTATACATTTTCCATGAATATACTTAAGTAGAACTTTTTATCTGCTGATTACCACGCACGTACACCTATTGTAAACGCGTTATCTGTCTGATAGCCTTTCGTGCCATTATTTAATTTGGAGCGCACGGAGGGTATATGCATACACAGTTATTGCCAGTTCGTGCCTCCAAATGATGCCGTAAATTGCACTTGGAACTTCTAATCGCGAACCTTATTACCCTGCGTTGGTTTGTAGAGACTGATATTTTACTGCTTGTTAGCTTAACCAAGGAATCAAATAGACTAATGGTGGAGTAGTCGTACTGGGGTGGCACCAAACTCCTGCGCGCGTTTTGTTAACTGGACAAACCAGTTTTGGCGTATTGGTCTATGGCATGTACAAGTGGCAGTAGACCACCTGCCCACAAACGTTGTACCACCGTAATAATGGCTTCTAATTTTAAGTTAGTTCGTTAGCTTTGTATTATGAAACTGTGTAAAAAGCATCATCCCTGTGATTTTTTGGGGAAAATGTGTTATCAATTCTCGGGAGGAGTCGCAAATTGAAATAAAAAAAAAATTGATCCCTATTGTAACAACGTTCCCCACTCCTCTACACAATCAACATGATGGAGGGGGCTTATAACATAGAACTACCGCACAGTTTCTTTAAATAAATACCTTAGAGGCGTCGTGTGCCTGGAAAAAGGACGTGAGTGCGCTCACACCCTTTTGCCAGGAAGTATGATCACAGCAGAAAAAAAGAACCACACTCTCTTTATTTAGTAAAAAACGCATGAATTTACTCTACAATCAACACAGGCTGTACAAAAAGAAACCTTTGAACAACTTATGGAAACTTTGTGGAAACTTTTGCAAAGAATATTTCATTAAAATAAACAGTTGCATACATACGTCTGGGAAAAGCTTTTTTGCTGTGGTCATGTTTAACGGCAAAAGGGCGTAAGCGCTTCCACCCTTCCAGGCACACTATCTGGATACTGCAAGGTAAATTTTGTGCCATCTTACCTTGCCAGGCTGCCTGCGATATGCTGATTAATACCGACATCACTATAATTCGCAACTCGATGCGACTCGTAATAATTACTGAAGACATGTCGGCTTTCTTTGCCGGAATGGCTAGGAGGAAGTGGGATAATCTTGTATGATAAAGGAAAAACAAAGACAAAGAAACAATGTTCAATGCACAAATCCATTTTAGGTAATATTTGTAACCGTTTTGGGGGAAACTTTATCAATGTTAACAGGTGGTCTATTCACACGAACATTCTCCGTTTTCAGTTTATCCCGTGGTTCCTAAACAATACAGGAGTGTGGCTATCAGTTTTATAATGTTATGTAATCAGTCGTTATCCTGCCAGTAAATTTCCATCAATGACGGACTTTGAACTCAGCCTGCCTTTAGTCGCACCATGGCCCTACTGGACGGAAAAATTCAGCATACGAGACGTAATTTCTTCAAGCCCTCATTGGATAAATTTCCTTCATATATTAAGACAGGTCAACACACGCACGTGTGTGCTCAACAGGAAAAATGAAGTAAAAACACCTATGTCCGACGAGACAAAAGCCATATGTTCATTACAGTTGTATGATGTCTTTATATAAAGCATGTTTAGGCCTTTCTCTGGGTACTGACAATTGGCAAATAGGGTTTGCGAGTTCGTTCGAATGTTTTGAACAGTTTTGCTCCATGAAACGATCAACTGTTACATCTTGTTAGTCCCAGACAAGACCGACTATGAGCAGCGCTGATAGACTAAAATCTCGAAATGAAGAGAACAAATAAAAATCACACAATGTATAATAATTTGAAATAGATACCTTCTATGCCTCTCTTTAAGTTATAAGTATTTAGTGTTCGTTGAAAGATTTTTCTCTTTCAAACAGCCTTTTCTTACAGAAGACCCTCTTCAGTGAAAGAAGGCAAAATAGCTGTCAGTCTTGTATGTTTTACTTCTACGAGATATATGAAATGTGATGAACGCAATTTTAGTAAGTCGTTGAAAAAAGCTTCACCCACCACCACTACCTCCTTCTTATGCTTCGTTCTAGAATCGTTAAATAACCTTATAGGCATTAATATAACTCTTCTGAAAACAAAACATAATTTTCCTGTCCCGTTCTACTGCTTTTAGATGAAAGTTTTAATATGTATTTTAAAATGAAAACAGGGCCATAGCCTAGAAAAATGCTTCGCTCCCGAACAGTATAAAATGTAGTAAAAGACTGCAAAATGATACCACAGTGGTTAACAATAATATCAGTTGTAATAAGTTAACGATGACCCCTTTTAAACCCGGGAGTAAAGTGGCGTATTGTCAGCTTACCTTTTTGCTCTTGGACGGCCCAATATTCTTTTTTTGGAGGACTCAAACGACGACAGTATCCAACAGAAGGGAATAAGTTGTGAGGATTGGCTTTCCAGAGCGAACAGTGACGCTATTCGAAATAAGCAGTGATGTTGGCAGCAATGCAACCTGTCTCGAAACAATGCCACATCTGGGGTTTGAGTCAATACCCGCAATGAAACTGCAGCAAATTATCAGGCCGAGCCGGCTCAAAGTCCTTCTTCCAACCCTGATACCGACAATAATTAAAGAGATAACTCGCTCTCTAAACGCCAGGCGGAGATGCCTGTCGGTGCCGGACTTTGCTCTGGCTGTACTCCGCCCTGGCCGTCACCATGACGATATTTAGTGATTAAGAAAAAGTCTGTTCCGCCATTAGCTCCATGAGGTGAAGTATGTCAATTAATTAGCGTGTTGATGTTCCGCTAGGGTCTGTTTGCAATGTTGGGGCAATCAGAAAGTGATGATAAAAGTCTGCCGTAGATTAGAAATGTTCCATGAAACCCCCTCACGCCGTATAACTTATATGTTCTGACCGGAATAGAGACTAGTTGATTACGCATGCTGCATTGCACTCCGCCATTTTTAATTTTTTTCCGACTGTTTCTAATAACTTACTATTTAATTTAAAATCATAATAATATAATTCACAAAGCACTAACAACGTTTTATCTGTTGACAAAGTATATGTACAAGGTGTTCAAATTGTGCACCATGCCTTAGCACAAATACAAATTTAATTTTCCGCAACATCAGCGCCAGTTAAGAACTGAGATCAAGATTGAGGGTGGATCCTCATCAAATTACAGAAACGTGCCAGCTGAAAATCACAGGCAATATGGGCGTTTCCCAATAGTGGGCCTCCATGAGTTTGCAACGCGTTGGCCAACCACACCGCGAGAAATCTGTCGACGCATGCGTGTTTGGAAGGAGTCGACAGATTTCGCGCCTTGTGATTCGTCAACTCGTTGCAAACTCTTGGAAGAGCACTATTGTGAATCGCTCGTTTTCTAATTGACATTCGCAACACCTTTTAATTGCTTTAAACCAAAATCTGTGTAGCCTATACATATATAATGTCGACTTTTTAAAAACCTTGACATTTATGAGCATTGAATTGTAGACAATTTTATATAGTTTTCGATTATTTGATAGATACAATCTGCCGTAGATGTTTTGCCGCCCGAATAACTGAGAGAACACTAAATATGAAAGAAGTGGTTTGGGATAGAATGGGCTGAAGGTTTCTTAATTTCGTTTCCGTTGGTTATAAACTGGAAGACGTTACCTAAGGGGAACTCGTCAGTTTGTGTGGATTGCAGCGCTGTTCTATAGACATGCATATTCAGTGACAATATCAACTACGACTGGATTCGCAGGCTATGAAAATTATGTTTCAGTAGGTTCAACCTTCCAGTATGGCTACAAATTCAGCGAAGAATTTATATACAAATGAACGCATAAAACAGTGACTATAATATGTATGCAGGTTTGATACGGACTGGAGATGAAGACCAAGGGTCGCAGCCATTCTTTTTAAATAAAACAGTTGTGTTAGTACCTGTCTCTACTGTCTCTTCTAAGTTGCTACAGTCTGATCCAACAAAAGTACTTTTATAATTATATGTGATCTCAGACAAGTCTTAGATAACCTTAGGTGAAATGCAGCTGGAAGAATAACAGGATTCAACAAGCTCGCTGACGCTTGGGCGTTGCCTTACATTTGCCCAAATTATAACTTTGGCCTTGTCACCGCAGAGGCTTGCACAGCCATGCTGGATCTTAATTCCATATCATCCAATGACTACCCTACTACAGCCACACGTCTGTGGTTGTCTCGACGGTCACTTTGGGCGGGATGGTCTGGGTGCTTCCCGTGGCTACCGACGTACCGGAGCCAGAGGCGGTGAGCCGGTGTCGAAACCGCTCCTTCTCGCTGCGCAAGGCGTAGGTCTCCTGCTTGATGAACAGGTACAGTGATGCTACGCCCGTGGCCTCGGTCACAAGGAAGGAGATGGCACAGAAACAGAAAGAGTAACCGTAGCCGTACTTGAATACCTAGGGAGGAGTAAGACCTCATGCAAATGAAAGTTGTTTTAAGCGTGTCTTGAAAAAGAATCGTCTCTTAATTAGTACATATACCTCTGGAAGATGAGCTACATACCTTGTCTGGTAAGGGCGGATGCTTCTCAATAACTGCATCCCCTACGGCGATGATATAACACACAATCCCCGTCAGGACAAATAAACCTGTCCGAACACAACACTTTTCATTATATCGGCTGCAATTACGGTCAAATTTTGAAATTAACATTCCGAACCGAACATTGGCTACAGTTTAGTGGGTTTTGAAATAGATACCCCAGCACTTGAAAATTGGAAGAACGACGTAGTCTGTTGTTTCTTTTCCTATTTTCGTTGCGTACACATTTTTAAATGTTGGCTTACTTCATGGTCCATTTCCATATTGGTTACTGTTTCCAACTGCTTTCTTCTCCTTTTGCAAATACATGTACTGACAGAACGAAAGTCAAACCCGTTCTCACAACATAGATAGAGGGCGGTATTTCGCGCATCCGACTCCTGCGGAGGGGACAAAGTAAAATTCGTTCCTGAACAAGGAAAGAGTGCGCGCGTTCGTGAAAAAAACTGCTTATTACATACAATTTGAATAGCTTTTACCACTAAAATCAACACCTGAAAACACTTTTGATAGTTTTTTAACTACACGTACGTTATTGATTAATATAATATGCGTTCTAAAAAGGTGGCCACCAAAATGTAATATGCCTGTAAACAACATGGTAAACCATAATGAATATTTTAAAGTATTTGCAACCCAGAAAAGGCGTTTGCTCTCAAGAAGTTTGGCGAGATGGGATTATAAGGAAGCATGTTCTCAGTTGATCTGCATCAATTTATTGATTCTTGTTGAAACTACATAAAATGTGAAACAGTTTACTAAGGGTGGATCCAGAGACAACTTTCTCTCAGACGGGGGCTGCACTTAGAAATTTTTCACTTAACCTTTTATGACATTTCTGGGGGATGAAATTACCCTTTGGGGCTTTTTGTAAGCGTTTGGAAGAAAGAGAAATGAAATAAAAAACGAAATATATACATGGCATGGCCTCTGTTAGCCCCTTTGCCTTGATCCGCCATTGTAGTTTACTACTATTAAATAAAATGAGAGCCTGACAAACTTAGGATAGGACTACGTGTGTACAAATTGGGTGATATTCTCTTCCCTTGGTCTATTCTCCCAGCAAGTCTTAACAATTTAAATTACCCGTGAGGTTTAAAATGCAGAAAAATATTTTTCAACTTGAGTAACAATAAAATACTCTAAAAATACTACCTCCGGATTAACCAATTCTTTAAAGCTAAAGGAAGAGTACTCACTGCTCTCTTCTCTGCTTTTATTTGTCCACAGAACGTTGGAAATTGGTGTGACGAGATGAAAATCACCGATTATTGACGGATCGCAGTAGTCTTTGTTTCGCTGTACACCGTAGCGACGCGTGATTTCAAATTTAAGATCGTTTTGATCAACTCGTTTTCAACGAGCAGTTAATCGTACATATTAAAACATTACTACCGAAAAAACATACGATTCTTTGAAGCATGAGCCGCCGCGTCAAGGATGTAGGTCAGTATGCACAAGGCTTAAAATTGCGTCCGTAGAATAATCACAATAACTATACACATAACCAGACACCTGTCTCAACATGTGGATAGACCACACCATGCCAATCGACGCTCATGTAGTCAAGAGTACTTCTAGACTATTCCATTTACTATGAAAGGAACCATCAAGAAGCAAAGTAGCTCCCTACTAGCAAACAACCCATTAGAACCTACCGGCCACAACGCAAACCACACCAGCGAAGAACGTAAAGGCCCTCTTGGTCGGTATGCAGAGACCTAACGTGCTGAGAACCGACGAGACGATGAGAAGAAGGAAGCTGATGACGGGGAAGGGCCACACTGAGTTGATCTTGGCTGGTGAAAGGGAACAACATGACAGTTTTTTTATTATGAATTAATGAATAATTTATGAACAGACGAGGATACAAGCCAACGTGAAACTGAAATAAAAACCTCACATATAGCAAAGTTCACTTGTTTTGATCTGTTATTGTGACAGCAAACGCCAGTCTCCATAACAAATGTTTAATATTATACAAATGTGGTTTTTCATATGGCATTTTTTGGGGGGGGGTAGTTATTGAAGAAACAACTTGCCTAATGCAGGTTTCAAAGGAAAAGTGGGAACTGCCGGTAATACCAATCAAATCGAAACTATTTGAATAAATTTGCACTTTTGCTGAGTCTATTCTCAAGAGCAACAGCGTTGAAGAAAATTACTGTAAGTTAAGATTCGCATTAACATTAGCATACACACACAGTAAGCCTTCAAGTCATAAGTACTTGAATATTGCAGATTTTTATTTTCTTGTTAAAATTGAAAGCACTTAAAGCACGTTTGTGAAATTACATGTAATAAACAAAAACACAAAGACAACACACAAATTTGTGAACATCACAATACTTGCATGTTTAATGAAGGATGTTTATCCTGTCAATAAAATTAACATGGACAATTAAGACCCTAACCCCCGAGGCCTTTTAGCTAGATCCCTCCACAATTATTTAAAACCCTCCCGATTCTCAAAACAAACAACTGCATTCAGTATCAATCCTGCAAATTCTCCAATACTTCTTGAATATACTCATATTGAGGGTTGCCTAACGCCTAAATCCTTTAAAGTCCGTTTGCAATTCCCGTTGTTGTGTTGAGACAGTAAGAATGGTATGGATGATATTATGTATAATGTAGTCATTAATTTATGCATGGCTGAGCATAAACAACACAAGGTCTAGCCCACAACCTTGACACAATGCATCCTTGCAATCAGCCATACACTTTTGCCATTCTTCCTCTCTCCCCCAATCTTTCCCCAACCACTCAGAGGACTTTTGGAGGATGGGGGAGGGTTAGGGATAAATATTAATGACATAACATTACGACTAATGTTAAAGGTAGTAAACATCATATTGTTTTTTGGTCGTTCTTTCACAAGATTGGCTGATTTCGGTGTATGATATTCACTGCAACTTACATTCAACGATCTTGTTTGTTTGAGTTAACTGCTTTGTGAAAAATCGGGAAAACAGCGCGGCATTTTCAAACTCTTAAATCGAAGATTTTTGTAATTTATCTTGTGTAAAATCTATGGATTACTGGGCGTTCGTAGTGAGCAAACAACATCGAACAGCGGGGTTGGGGAGTGAAACAGGCATGGCAGGAGCAGTTTTCAATGCTTAGGAATAATTAGTGAATTAACCCTGGAGTGACGCACTTCCTCGAAAATTTCGCATTGCGGATTCATGTAAAACTAAACTTCATCCAAGAAGGCAGTCGACTCGTCCGTGACATAAACGAGTGCAGGCCTATATGACAATCCACATGCGCGTGCGATCGTGCCTAATGACCGCACTTTCATGTCAGTTTACACGTCTATGAAAGTCTAAAAACTCTACTCTTAGTTGATTTTCTAATAATTATAAGCAAAGAAGACATTATGTCCAGAACCACGGGGGGGGGGGTTAACTTCTGGAAATCGTACTTTTTGTTGGCGAAAATCCTTTTTACCATTCTGCTCGGAAACAGCCAGCATATTTGGATCATACCATTATACTCCATGGATGATTTTGAATTCGCACAGTTCTCGCGTTAAGAAAATCATTTTCTTAAGTAAAATTGTACTTCATATTGATCGAATTTATTTCCTACTTTACACCTTACACTCAGGTTCCTATAATTTCAGTTTACAAAGCTTTTGGAGATTTCTGTCTGCATATTTGTTAGCTGCTTTTAGGTTTACCCGTTCATGAACGGACTCTTCCACACAATTGCAAACAGTCCGCACAAGAAAATTAGCGCCTGTTAAAGAATGCGATGTGTGAAGTGAAATGAACTCTTATACGATGGTCGGCCGATCATCGTGAAAAAAGAGAACAAAATTTCTGTTTTCTCTTAAAACTACAGGATTCTGGGCTGAAATATTTTACAAACTGATTGAGACCGTTATGTATAGTTTCAAGTAAGACATTAGTCTGATTTGGGGGATTTTACCAATGGTGTACATTAAGTCTGGGGGTCACGTTAGAAGCGTTCACGTCGCGATCCCCGTCAACTCTACGAAGCCGAGCCAAAGACAAGTGATGTTCGGAAACTCTACAAAAAGCAGCATCCCTTCAGCCCAGAGCAGGAAGAGAGGCTAAAACTTGCCAACAAGCCAGCACTGACTGCCATATCTCTGAATGTTGAAGGACAGTCTCTCTGCAACTGAAGAACTTGTTGCAAAACTCTGCAAAGGATATCACTGTGATACTCTTTCGCTACTAGGAAACCTGTTGTGGACCAAAATATCCTTTTACTCAATATGAAAGGCATGACCACACACACAGAATTAAAGGCTCCATTAGATGTACGGAAGCGTCATATTAGCAAAACAATAGAACCGTCGCTGAATCAACATCTAAGAGCGATACAAACAATATTAAAGTCCTAACTGTTGAGCTCCGAAGAGTTACCATCCCCTCAGTTTACAAACTACCTCCCACGTCCTTAGAGACGCCTAAGATACCATCATCCGGCAAATCGATGATAGTGCTTAGAGATTTGAACAGCCACAGCACACAGTGGGGCTACGAACACAACAACAAAGATAAAATGCAGCAGAAGCACTGGCTGAAAACAACCAACGCAATCTGATCCATGATGCCAGACAACCAAAGTCCTTCAACAGGTGGCGCTGGAGAGAGCAGGTTACAAGCCTGATATTGCATTTGCCACCCACAAAAATCACTCGATTATGCAGAGAAGCTGGTCATGGAGTCAATGCCAAGGGTACAACACATAACAACGGCATAACAGTCAAATGCTGCTATAATCGAAGAAGATTCGACTTTAGGAAAGTGAACTAGCGTACCTTCCAAGAAGATCTGGAATGTAGGATCGCCCATCTCCCGTGGACGCCCCAAACTATGACAAGTTAGCCAAGCTTGTGCACCAAGTAACTTTGGACTGTACACTCTCCTACAAGAAACACAATAGCAATACCATTCCGAAAAAAACGTCATACGGAAACTGACCAACTCAACATGGGGAGCCACAGCATCCACCCTGAGAACAATTGTCCCAGCCCTGTGCTGTGCCTCTGCAGAATATGCCTGTCCTCTAAGGGAAAAGTCAGTTCATGCCAAGACATTAGACCAAGCACTGAACAACACCTACCCCTGATCACTGGATACCTGAAACCAACCACCACAAACAACCTACATCTCCTCGTTGGTATTGCCCCTGACAATATCAGGCAGGAAGTTACCAGCCGAGTCGATATAACAAAAGTCACAACAGACGAACGCCACCTCCTCCATGGACGTCAACCTCTATACAACGACTAGAGGTAAGAAAACGCTTCCCCAGCCATGCCCGACCCCTAAAAATTCTAGGAAAAAAACGGACTCCAGCTCTGAATGGAAAAATCTTCAGAATAAACCTCCGGTTGACATGTGAATTCTTGCTGCTGAAAATCTTCCTCCTGGTTCAGACGCACCATGGGCCCTGTGGAAAACACTGAACTGTCTGAGAAAAAGAGGTGGACGATCCAGGGTTGTTCTGAGCAGGTGGGGTTACAGGACTGAACCAACCACCTATGAATGTGGAGAAGCAGACCACATCACGGAGCACCTCGTCTGCCCTCTACTATCCCTCCGTAACAAAATAGACATTGCAGAGTTCAATGCACACCCAGAGGTCTCGGTCAAGACATGGGAGTCTATCGTGCAACCAATCTCGCTTTAAAGAAACGAAAAGAACTAATTCTAATTAAACATGAATATGCAGGATATGGAGAATGCGGAAAGCAGCGGTAGATAGTCTATGATAGCCGGAAAAGTGTAGGCATCTGTAATAGTGGGCTTCAAAGTACAGGTTAATTAATGTTCAAGTACTTGATGAATTCGGAAACCCAGATTTCATTATCACCATCGATGGCTTGTTTTAGGAGCTGACCTTACACAAACCTCCACCAATCGTCGAAATTTACGTATGAAAGCATGGCAGGTCCAGCCTACCTTCGCCGTATGTTAGTGAAGCAATAGGATCGTGAGACTAGTCTGAAAAAAGTGGGATGTGCACCTGGTGCAACCATCTAAGATCAACTCATTTCCCGTGTATCTACCAGGAGAGCAGCAAAGTGCTATTGGGGAAAATGATGGAGCTCCTGCGGTACCCAATTGCTGAAAATCTCGGCAATTGGCTTTCCCTAGCAAAACAACTGTCACTCGGTTTTTAAATCACTAGAGCCTATCCAGAACGGTCGATGAGGGCATTTTCCCCTTTTCCGAGGATTGAGAAGAAATCGTTTTTCTTCCCGTGATCTAGGGGAGGTCATATTGCCTTGTCATTTGACGGAAGCCCCCAGCGCTTCAAACACCCTCAGCTTGTCCTGGGTGAAACGAGCCATGCCAATGTCTCCATGTAGGGGGACAGCCTCGAACACGTTCTCAATCATCAAAGTTGGTAGCGTGCTCCGTAGCACATGGACGGTTCTTAAAACTGGGCAATTGAAAAAGTAATTTTTACCTCTATTTTTGTGTCTTTGAAGCCAACTGTACTGCAATACTTGCTATTAAAAGTACAATGAATATTGTATTACTCAGCTATAAGCTACCATCAAAGAGTGATCGTCATCAGCAATCCATACATCTGCCTCTTTTTCTATCTCAGACGCTGAAGACACCTTCCAACATTATTTGTCCGCGTCTGTGCTAAAAGGTATACAGTACTTCTCTCTCTCACATCGTTGTTACATTTTCCGAGAACTGGCGGCAGATATTGTACAAGTTACAGTTGTCTCTAAGCATAGAAACGATATCCCCAGAATATGACGCACATCATTGTTTCTGTGACGTAACAACAATGATCAGCTAAAAATCACGTTTACAAAAACAACCGCTCATGAAATACACTGTCATGCACGTTTTTATATGTATTTGTGACCATTTCACCTAATGCTTCAGGCAAAATGACGCGTCACCAAAATGTATTGATAATAATAACGATATCGTCAGCGCAAGTCCCACACTGCTGGTATAAAGGCAAAGTATACCGATGATTCTAGTTTTTGTGCTAAATCAAGTATGAAAGTGTAAAAAAATAAGACCACCAGTCTATTTAAAATGATGACTAATGGCCATGTAAAGTTTTTCTAACATTTCACGAGTGGATGAAAACATCACGTTCAATGGGACACTGTGTTGTGTTACAATACGGGCGTTTCACAATAGTGCGCCACCAAGAGATTGCAACGCGTTGACCAATCACAATGTGCGAAATGTATCGACCCAATGCGCGTTCGGAAGGGGGCTGTGATTGGCCAACGCGTTGCAAACTCACAGTGGCGCACTATGGTGAATCGCCACTGTTAAAGCCTGGTTTCCGCATGGTCGTTTGTAACGTAGACGGTCTGCAAGATGTCAAGATGCAGACAGTCGTGGAAAAGATGCTGTGCGACGTCATTCCATCAAAAACAAAAACAAAATGGCGTCCAAAACTTGGAAAATTTTCGCCTCAAAATGCCTTTTTTACGGAGCTCTGAAAGTGCCATCCAACTTGTTGAGATCCTGCACTACAATTTCTTGGAATGACGACATCATTTAAGTAAGATATCGATATCCTGGGATAATTTATTATAAATGACGACATCATAAAAGTGGTATATTGACATTATTTGTGAATGAGTGCATTTTCAAACCACATTAAGAACGCACAGGTGACCTGAGGTGCTTTGTCTTTCAAAGCATTGTCTTCCTATTGCCATATATAATATTAATTAGATTGATGAAACGTCATGATGTCTCACCGCTTGTTACAAGTTGTAAAGAAGACATCACACTTGGTGGATGTGTCTGGATGATGACATCCTGAGCTAATGATTATCGTCATTATCTGGGGATGTCATCATCCAACTTTTATGATATTGTCATATTGTCATTAAAAAATTAACTCAAGATGTTGATATCTTGCCTTTATGATGTCTATATCCCGAGAAAACAAATATGTCAGGATCTCAACAAGTCTGAGGGCACTTCCAGAGCTCCGTAATCCAGCAATTCTGATGTCTACCCTTTTACGATGCCGTCACCCTATGCTGAATTATTTCAGGATGTAGTCATCCAATGGTTACGATGTCTTCCCATGATAAATTATTACAGGATGTCGCCATCCAACTTTTACAATGTCGTCGTCTCGAGATAAATTAGCTGCAGGTTGTGAACATCTTGCCAGTACCATGTCGTTATCCCGAGAAACAGTATATCAGGGTCAGGTGGAAAGGCTTGCGGTTGCACCATGCGAAGGAATATATCTCTCTTATGAGTATGTGTGGTTCAGAAAACATACTCCGAGTTCTTTTCTGAACCACACATACTCATAAGAGAGATATATTCCTTCGCATGGTGGAGATATATTCCCTCGCATGGTGCTACCGCAAGCCTTTCCACCCGTTGCTGTCCTTCAACATAAATAGCCTGAAATGCCATCCAGAATTCCGTAGGTTTGTGTTATGTCTACGTTATCCGCGATAGAACTGTTTGACATGGTTCCGTAGGTCTGCGTTGCAGTTTGCGTCTTAAATGCCTTGCTCTCTGCGTTTCTCACGTCGATATGGAAACCAGGCTAAAAGGTAACATAGAAGCATGTCTATTGTTCATATAATTCAAAGTATGGATCTTTGTGTTGTATAAATAATCATTTCAACATGTCAAGTTGTGTCTTACCTAATGCAGCCGAAGTAATATCCTTGGGCGGTGAACCAGGGGCAGGAAGGACGCTTCGGATTTTCACGCAAGCGGGAGAGCCTGCAAGGATGAACCGAATTTGGGAGTATAAAAGATGCCTCATTCTGTTTCCTTATATTGTACCCGATTCATGTTTTTTTTGCGATATTCATCCCATTCGCATACCTTTCTAGGAAAATGTGTCGGCAAGGGGAAATGAAACCCTGGCTTTACGCCTGACCAACCTCCTGTTTATATGTACTACGCCTCCACTCGCTTCCCCTGACGGGGATAAAATGCATATTCAAATATACTGCGAACGGTGTGATTTTACATGACTGATGGAAAAATGGACACCAGACCAACCAACCACACCATTTTTGTTTAGATGCTATTCAACATTCACACCCATAGAAAAACAGACCTGTAATACGCGAGTATTAAACGAGTAATAAACTCTCAAATTAACTCACAGATTGTTGTTCCCAGGTTAAGCTTTCATTTATCATCTTAAAAGGGGAGTCAGATTGGCGTAGTGTTTCTTTCTTCGCCTTCCACCTATGGGGGCCTGGGTTCTAATCCGGCTCGGTCCACATGTGGATTGGGTTTTCAGTCCCTACCTGAGTCCACCGGTTTTTCCTGAAACATTTAACCGGGGTTCCCCCAACTTCTAAAACTGAACATTTTTCCATTGCCTCCTTCACTTATTATTATCCTGTAATTGGCGCTAAACGCACTGTTGAATGATCATATACATAAATAACTAAAAAGTAGTTTAATTAACTGGTTTCTTATGTTTATCCATCAAGTTCCCCTTTGGCATCCCGAAAGCATCCATATTCAGCACCTGGGCAGGTAACCAGACTTTACACGGAACAAAGGCTGTGTCCTAAGCAACTGTCTACGGCTGTAAATACGGCTGCTTGCCTGTGGCTTTTAGGGTGGGAATTGTATGACGTCATTTCCAGCAGTAGCCATTTGACTTGATCATGGCCTTTATTTTCCACAAAGCCTGACCCCAGTGTCCTTACCTGGTCTTGGCAGGATTTCCTGTGTTGCGTTACTTTCCACTTGCCTCCAAGCATCTTTCAAGTCCCATCTGTATGTGACTTTGAAAAAAAGAAAAATTTCAATGTTAAATAACACATGACTTTTCCGTAAAGTTCAAAACAATTTATCAATATATTTTCCCACAAGCTTGAAAAGTGAGACATTTAGTTGGGAAAACGCACAGTGCGTGAGTCCAAATTTGTATCAAATATAATCTTGAACTGAGTATGTGTGCATTTCTCTGAGCAAATTTTGTAAGTAATTCACAATAAGTGCAACGATTTCATGAAGATATCTGAAGTGACTGCGATATGTCTAGGGAAACGTCATACAATCCCCAGACGTGTGGAATGGTGTGCAACTCGTTAATATTTTACCTCACTAATTATCCAATGCAATGTACTGCTAAATTAGAGGTATGAAATGTTATACACCTGATCTAACTTTGTTTTGATTGAACCACTACTTAGGCCCCAAAACAGGGTAAATCATTTTTAAAATTATTTGCTTGTATGCCTTTTCGGATCTTGTTAGCGCACGATGTTTTTGGTTCAATTTACTCAAGAAACCCTAAAAACGTTACAAACTTAAAAGATTTGCAGGACAGCATTCGTAATCGATTTCTTGGTCCTCGGTTTCAAATGATGTCCTTCAAATGATTAAATTTTATTCCCCTTTCCAGCAGGATTGACAATCATCTGATTTCGCTCAGACATTAACAATTTGAATTATTATTCTATTTGGCCTATAGGCTCGCCATAGCAAAGATGATGCGTATGGAGCACGACGCCGGTATTAATAGATGATAAATAATAAATGACCTCACGTGCCGCTTAGACGAGATTTCTCACGATGTTGCAAGTTACTGAATGAATGATGAAAAAATGCTGCAATAATAATAAACGCGTGACGAAATGAGATACAAATTCTTCGATGCATGTACATATAATATAATTCATTTCAGTTTTTTCTCATAATGTACGAGGGGATATAATCACAGAAGGCTTTTGCTCGGGCACTTGACCCTGAATATGTTCTTGCTCAATGTAATGAATGTAAGGATAACAATTTAAGGCAACACGAACACAATGAATTATACAAATACGACGTAACAGTCTTCTATGCTCTCTTGTCCAGCTACCTCTTCCTAAAAAGTATGCATTTAACAATATGTGCGCAAGTCTGGCCTATAATCTGTGCACAATTTCTCTCATTTTATTTTCTTGAAAGTTATCCCATTCATGGTACTTGTAAAAACATGAATTTTAATTTGAAATGAAGTGTTCTTTTAGCTGATAACTCCTGACCAAATATTTTTTCTTCATGGATCCTTTGACTATTGGTCTCACTTTAACCTCAGCTCTCGCTTTTCAACAGACAGACGTGAGGTAAGTTGGCAACTGTCTTTGTGGAATTCAAGCTCACATTGAAGCTCACGATTATTTACATTTACATGTATTTATCGATAAGGAGCTTGTCTTTGCTCTGTCATTTGACCAAAGACTCTTTTTTTTTTACAACTTCCCACCGTAAAAATACGTGCAAGGATGACATTTTGAATTTGAAAGTGTCTTCTGATTTGTAGTAACCGTATAAATTAATATTTATTCTAACAAAAAATAGGGACTACTCGACCACAAAGTGCATCATTGTTGGAAATCACAGGAAATATTTCTATAACCACAAAAGCGCTTAGATTTGAATGTGAGATCTCATTATTTTGTTGACAAGGGATGTTCCCGACTTAAAAAGCAGGGGGCTACACTGAAAATCTGTTTTGGGTCATTATTGTTAGGACATCTTCACACGCAAATTTAGTACCCATCTCAAACAAAGCCTCCTTGGAAAGAATCATTGCACCCTGACGCCATCTTTTTCTTCATACACTATCCCAGCCGAAGTGGGGTATCGCAAAAATCTTGAAAAGACACGAATATGAGGCTGAAAATATTTTTTATTCATAATACCGAATACTTTGAAAATGTGATTTTCCATAAACTGTGCACAAACCCTCGAAACTGTGGCGGTATCCATTGTTTCCTGGATACTGTTTTGCCGGTGCCATAACGCAGACAGAGGATCGGAGAAATACTGAGTTTGACACAATGCACTTGTTTGCATCCTCAAACTCTGACTACAGAATCCTTGTTCATTCTTACCTCCTATCCTGCACGACTCCAACAGGCCTGAGTACATGTCCATGGTGATTCTTAGTGTGCCGTTGTGGAAGTCAAGATGTCTCTCCTCCGAGGTGAACACCCACTGGTTGGTGAAGGTCCCTACGCTGGTCAGCAGCAGACCCAAGTAAGCCCCAAACACAGACCAGATAGTCAGTAATAACAGACTGGCGTTCTTCATTTCGCCGGGGAGGATGAGGCGAGAAATACCCCAAAGAATGCGGAGAATAGCGCTTAATCTGGCTGCATACGCACAAAGGTTGTTGGTGTAGTTACTATTTTGCCTGGCGTGTTAGTACAATGGTATTTGCGTTTGAAAAGAATCGACGGTGAGGGTTTTGGTCAACGTAGATTGCTAGAAATAAAACTAAAATGGAGTCCTCATCGTACAATAATGGGCCTCAGGAATCGCACCTACGTAGATCCAGGAGGTGTGAAGAACTTGAGATGCTCGCCTGACACCGAAACGCTGTTCTCATTCCAGAAACTTCACATTAAAAAAATCTGCACTGCCGTGATGATTCTAATCATCAAGGCAGTTCACCAGAAGCATATCTAAACGTAATTTAAATTCAACCTTTTAAAAACGTGTCTTTGATATAGATTTATTGAAAAGGTGCGAATATACTGATTGGCGTATGTGCTCTTCTTTAGCCAGGGGGGTATCTTTGTTATTTGTACTCATTGATGCAGATTATTAGTGTGTGACTAGGTGAAGTCTACTGGACGTGAGAGAAACCGAAGAACCGTTTCCATGCGAGGCCGATCCAGCCTGGTGAGAATACGCCGGGGAATCTCTCGCCAGCCCGGGCAACATCACACCTTCAGCGCAGGGATGCGTCCCCTTGCACTCAGAATGATGTGGAGCGTGAAGAATGAAAGATGAATGGATACTAAGAATGATCAAGAGGGAATGATAACACAGGATGCGAGGGAAGAATGATGAGGTCTAGGAAGAGATCGGAGATCGTGAAGGAGCTGCAAGGCAATCCGTCAAGGACGTGTCTGCACGGTTGCGCTTGATATAGGAGGTGTAGGCTGTTCCAATGGTAGTTTATGCATTCTGAGTTACTCGCGGTTATTAACACAGGCACTTCGTATATTCCACTCAGATCCATATTAATGCCGATCACGTGCATGACAAAGTGACATCATACCCGTGGTCGTGGCAACTTGGCTGAACAGTATTACCATGGCGGCAGCCGACGGCAATTTTTTTCAAATAGACATTTTAAAATCTCTTTTTCCCAGCAATCCTTTGACACAACCAGTTTGGTTAACATTCTTTATTTAATTAAAACTCAATCTCTAGTATCAAACGGATCTATTCATTTGGTATTTTACATTTACATTTGAGTCCCAGAATGATGCCGACCCACAATTAATTTGTATTCTTCTAATGCTCCAACGGCAACTCACGGGAACTGATTGCACATCACGAGATATTTTGATGATGCAAACGTAACTTATGAATCGGCCTGTGGGTTATGCACACAGATAAAATTATGCCCACTGCCACAGCGGTTTACTCACCCCATTGCCATTACAGGGCACTGGGATGAGCTAATTTCCACTGGACGCATTACGTCGTCTCTTTGTAGTTTCATTGTACAAAACTTACTTGAATAATATTCTGGGTTAAAGGTAGATGACACCTTTGTTTTTTTTTGGCTGTAATTTCACAAGATTGGCTGATTACGCGGTGTAAGATTTACTGCAACTTTCATTCCACTGACTTGTTCCATGTTTGAGTAAGCTGCTTTGTGAAAATCGCTTTTAGTTGCGCCTTGTCTCGTGCGGTAGTGACAGAACGTGCATGGATTATCTATAAAAGCACTTTAAGAAGTCCACCCAGGTCGACACCACTTAACCACAGTCGTTCGATTAACTCTGACCAGAAACACTTTTCACGGAGCTCTGTTATGTAGTTAAGTGAGAACTTCGTCGACTTCAATTGGAAATGGACCCTTTGTTTACAAACCCCGACCACATTTTCCCATGGGCAGCAAACTTTAAGGAAAGTTCCCCAGTTATCAGTACCACGAGGTACCTTTATGTAGATACCCCACTCTTCGATAGTATATTATTTGGTGTTTTAATTGATTTCCTTTGAGCTATGTTAATTATTATTTTTGTCTTACTACTGAGGGCAATCCATATTATGAAGGGCTGGCTGGTGAAAAAACCACAGAGTGACCTTTAACATTTACTTACATGACGTGATTTTGTGATTTTGATGTCTCCCTTCCTTTATCTGACTCAAGTAGCACGAGCGTCTCTAACGAATCTGAAATGACGTGTGTCCGAAGAGGGCGAAGACGTTTATGGGAGTCAAAAGAGGGCGCTATTTAGTCCATCTGTCGGTCTGGGTACGGGTAGAGCAATAAATACCTTCTATGCGGGCCAGAGGCCTCTCTTGGCTGCGACTAGCTAGGTCAAAGCGCATGTGCAAAGCGACTACAACCCAGCGTCAGTGGCTACTCTTGGTAGACAGATTACTGCCGGCAGGAGCCCCAAGCTACAGGTGTTAGGGCTGTGCCGATTATTAAGTAATGGGATATTTATTTTCGAAATACAAGTATTCGGGGGTAAAAATGAAAGAAGTACAAAGGAGGATTAATAAGTTGCATACCTAATTGTATTCTAAAAAAATTCCAGCTGTTTTGAGCAGAATGAAAGGGTTCATGCATTGAAATTTATTACAACCTTGGGCTCCGTTTGCAGTGGCTAATATAGTATCCTGGATAATAAACAGACTTAGTCCTGATCTTGGTACTGACCGTTACTGCCTAAGTATTAACAATTTCAGTGTCAATCCCATCAGATATCTCTTATAATGTAACAAACGGCTTAGCATAATTTGGATGGCATTTGTTGCACGGTGAAGTACTTGACATGTAAGCAACTCAACTTATAGCAAAAAGCTTGGTACAGCAATGAGCACAGCCGTTAGTGTCCAAATACATGTTTCTGACAGAATGGTGAGGGAAGACAATTAACGGCGAAAAAGGCCCTTTCCGTGATACTTCAACATCTGGGGAGTAGGCTTGTCCAATGCACGACCCTGCATGGAAAATAAGGGATATTGATCAGGCCTTGTCTTCGTATAATAGTAGGGAGGATGAGAGCATTCTTGTCCTCAGCATTTGTGCACCCTTTCAGTCAATGTGTTTAACCTTGAGCTATTTGGACGAGATTAGAAATTGCGACCCACTCTGCAAAAAAGGCCTTTTAGTCATGTACATGTACGTTACAGACCATTCCGTACATCTGCCAGAGATCAATTCCCAATTTTACTGTATCTCGGGAATAGAATGTGCGACAGAGGTCAAAAATACACAAATTTAATCCTTTAATGAAATGCTGCTCCATCTGCGGGCATCTCTTAAAATCAATTTGTCACATATAAGCCGAAGGGCCATTTTGCAGAGCCAGTCACAATTGTTATCGGAGTGGTTTCAATTGACATGCAGCCGTTTTGTGTGAATTCTAGTAAACTGCTAATGAATTACCTTGTCGCAAGATGGTGGAGGTTTGAAGTACTTGTCCGGATCGCAGATTCCCAGTTGAAGATCAACGATACTGGAATCCTCAACCTTGATTTCTTTGCCTGGGATGAACCAGTCAAACATAATACCTAACATTTTAACTCCAAAGCGGCAATTTATAACATTGCCGACAGAAAGAAATCGTTTGTATGAATGAGGCTTCAAGTTGCCACGATCAACAAAGCAAACCCTTGTGTTTCTGCGACACGCGCACCAGGAATACCAGCACCGAGTTTTGGGGTTAACTAAATCTGGGCTTTGTCTCCAGGTACCAGACTTAGCTCCATGATACTATTGCATGAATTTCATCCTCTAAGAGTTGATCTTTCAGTTCAAATCAGCTCCATCTTCTGTCCCAGAAACATATCGAATTGTCTAATGTGGCACCAAAATTTGTGTATCGAGTATTTTGACTTGGTTCATACTAATAGATTAATTCTGTAATTCTTAATTTAAAATGGAAACTAAAATTTCGAAAATAGCTTGGAATAAGCGGACCTGAAGATGTGGAGAATGTCACAAAAGTTTCAAAGGTGGAAGTAGCCTTTGTGGGTCTACGTTTTTTTTAGGATGCCACTGCAGTGGTGTCAACTTGCCCACATCAGGTGAGTGTTTAGGTTTAAATTGAACCACATTTTTTCAGCGTTCAAAATGTGCACGCTATAGCTCCATACCTGACTCGAAGTCAAATTTGCGAGAGAGAACTCTCACAGGAACGCATCCTTCCTGCTGGACACTAACAATCTTATGCTTGGTCTTGTCCGAATTGAGGTAATACCAGTTGTTCACGACGAGATCATGATCGCCGAGAGTCGTCTTACCAAGAAACTTATCATTTTCTGCACAGTACGTGTGACAGCATTAATATGAAAGAAGAGCAAAAATTGTAGCGTTATTGATGATGTGTAACCAGGTGTCTCCTTTTCCTGTACATGTGTGGGTGTGTGTGTGTGGGGGGGCTCATGGGCGACCTTTGGACATTTTTACCCCACGGGACCTCGCTGATATGTCGTTATTTAAAAATGACATGAGGTAGCTAACAGGATAATTAAATTTAACTGGCAACAAATTGGTTTTGTCCCATGGACGGATAGAGAAAGTTCGTTCAGTGAGAAGTGTTGAAATGGGGTCATTAAACTGTCAACCTTTTAATCTCTTTTCGGAAAACTCAGCCATTTCAACTAAAATTAAACGCTAGAAGAAATTGATTATACTTATTATAAGCTGGCATAGAGCGAAATTGCAAAAAAAAATCGAATGATTAAGACAAAAGTTTCTTTTATTAACTTGACTACAGTGAAATATTTAACCTTTCATTTGAAGGGCACTTTCAACAGTTTTGGGGTAAGCCCTACTCTCAGTCTCCTACATCCTTCAGCTTTTACTTTAACTCACCTGTTAGACAATCCTCGGGAAACTTCCTCTTCAGGTGATTGACGAAGCAAACATCTTTTCCTTGGTGCTGCTGAATGCGATACGAAACACCCTAGTAGCAATCAAGAAATGCAAAGATTTGGGCACACTTCAAGAATGGATCGACAAATTGACTGATGTAATGAGGCCCAAACATCTGTCCACATCCTCGACATTTTTCCAATCCTGTCGCAATGCATGTCCCAGTGCCGAAGCGTCACGTGGTTTTACCAGCGATGCCTTCCAATCATCGGAAAGACCGTTCTTTTAAAACACATTTTTTTCCTGAGACAGGTCATCAAAAATAGATATGTTTCCCAATGACTTGCTTCATGCACTCGGGCTTTATGCAATTCAGACCATGGACTTCAAATAATCTTAAACAAAAAACCGTATGTCATATTGAATTGAAACTTTACAAATGTACATGTAAAAGGTGTCTTTACATGAATTTGAAGTTTGAAAAAGATAAACTACTTTACAGCCAAGTTCCTGGCTGTGAGATTATACTCCAAAACTGCTCTTTCAACGTTAAATGCCTCGTAACTGTTGAGAAACGGTATATGAATACCTGTCTGTAATCATTGATGACTTTCAGGTGGACCTCCGTGTTGTTGAAGTAATCGACGAGAAGTCTGATAGAAGTGCGCTCAAACCTAGCGTCATAGGCGCCCTCAATATTTTCATACTCAACCGACAGACTGCCGTCCTTGACCGAGGTCATGGTCGTCACTGCGAGTGGAATGAAGTTTGTTATGCGTTATTCACTACCTTGAAATAAAAAAAAAACAACCGACACAATTGTTCAATCTATGTTGTACTGGTGTGCTTTAAAAAACGATAGTTATGGCTGTGTTATTTGAAATGATTTTGAAAGGCCTTACGCGGTAAGCTGGCTGGGTATAATGTTCGCCTGTTTCCTCCGCGAATAAACACGCACAATGCTTTGTGCTGACATTGGAATAATGCACATATTGAGACCCAGTATCTACAAGGGAAAACAATCAAACAAAATCGGGGCAACTTTACTTTTGTAAAAACAAATTTTTCCCAGGTTTGAGGCATAAATAAGGCCCTTTGCAAATTTTTTGAAAGGATGGCAGAAGTGGATCTAGCTTTCAGCAAACAGGGAGCAGTGTCGACATAAATGGCTCCAGAGGTTCAGCGCAAAACGTACCGAAAAATGCTTTTTTGGGGGAGGGGTGTCTAAAGCATGCTCTGGAAAATATTTGAAACTAAGATTTTTGCATTCTAAGGTGATTAGATAATAACAGGTTTAGCATTCCATTTAAAACCAAATTTTTACTGGTATGATATTAATGACCACTGATTAGCCGCTTATCTGCAATAAGATGGGCCGAGTGTAGTGACATGGCTGTAAAAGATGTGCAGATATTGAGATGCACCTACTTCGATAAGTTTCCTTATCTGAGATTCTGTAGTTCAACATAATTACTTCCAATAGGCCTAGTTGACAATCTGTAAGGTTGCACATGTACAACGATTTTCAAAATTTGCGTCAATCATGAGAGAAAGCCATTGCTCACCTTGTTTGAATGTGAGGTAGCGTGGAACACAGCAGAGCTCGGGCCCTTCTCCAGGTTGCTGGCCGACACCGTGCGTGGATCCAATTGGCGTACCGGGTTTGGAAGCCATTGCCCCCACCACCAACACGCAGATGAGGAGAGCGTACCACATATTTGCGTAACTTATTGCTTTTTCCTCTCTTGACCACAGTTCCTATTTGGCCGAGAGCTCAATGCACCAACTTTGTCGCAGGAGGGGCTTGGACACAAACTGGCGCCTGTAACGCTGCCCAAATGGCACTCTAGGAGACGACTGAACCTAGTCCCTGGTTTTTCCATTGATTGTGTGAATTGACCTTATTAGTATGCAAATTCAAAACTATAATATATGTACTGTGCACGCATGGAGAGATTTCGCGAATGGTCACTTTTATATTTCGAGTTGTTTCGTGCTGCATGGGTGATCTTTACCGTTAGTTAAAATATCTCTGGTTTATGAAGCAATGGTTTAGGGCACAGCCATACCATAAAACTAACAGAAAAAGTCCGCCCCACATGGCAAAATTTGAAAATGAAGAGTCGCCCCACTTAATTGCATTTCTAGTTTAGAGAACAGAATACAGTCGACCTCTCTGAAAGTTTGAGTGCACAAACAAATTAATAAACGCATGTGTGTTACGAATTTGTCAGTTTGAGGTGAACTTTTCAAACATAGGATATAGCCGACATACTGAGCTAGAGAAGGTTTGGAAAATCGTATGAGTTTTATTTTTTAGTTTTTGTAGAATTGGCAAAATGGATATTCCACCCTTACAGCACCAGTAGCCATCAATCTAATCAACAAACAATGTATGAATACAATCAAACTACCGTTGAGCAACTCCGGACAAGGAAGTGTATATATCTTTAAGGGGATCGTCAGTCACCTTCACTTATTGCAAGCTATATGACGCGCGAGACGATCGAGACAAATTTTGTTAGAGCGCCGGCGCGCAATGCTTTATAGTCAATACCGAATAAAAATCACTTGCGAAAAGTATTTATTTTGAACAAACGTCCCTACACTTTAGGTTTGTTGCCTACATTCATGTTAAGTTGCCCTTCGCGTAAATTTAACTTTATAGAGATAAATCCCATCACCGATTTAAAAACTATCATTAATACAAAGTACGATTAAAAACACACTTAACAATTTTTGCTCATATCAACAAAGAATTTTTATGGCTTTGGAACGATCCGGTGTCACGGTGGTGTGATCTGCAAACAAGTTAAAAGCTTTTCATTTCATGTAACATGTTTAATATCCCCATTTGATAGATCCTCGTCTAAGTATTTCAGACATGAAACTCCAATCAAGCACACATTACTTGATGTTAAATCACTGATACCATGTTGTTGCAGGATAATTTTTTATGCAATTAACAGCTGGAGGAGTCAGTTTAGGGGTTTTCAAGCAATTTGTTTGCTTAACGTCCCGTTTAATCTCTATTTCATCATTTCTGTTGCTTTAATCCGTACCATTTTCCTTTTAAATTTTTTTCTTGTACATTTTGTTGGTTAGGGGGCGCCCCCTACGATACCCATACTACAGTTATATTCAATTCCCGTCTGGTACCTCTATTTTAATGAACGGCTCAAATGAATGAGTTTACGTTGACAGCGTGGTACTATGAAAACGAAACTAAAAAGCGAATAAGAAACATCATGCTTCATTAAGGACTATGATTATTCGGAAATTGAACGGCGAAACAGACCCTTTCTGCGATACTTCAACATCTGGGGAGTTGGTTTGTCAACGGCACGCCCCTGTAGGAACAATGGGCAAATGATTACTGAGAACTGAATCATGGAAAAAGGATACGAAAATCCTTTATCATCGATCAATGCATCCCTGAAACCCCTTTCAGTCATATGAACCTTTATTATAAACACGTAGGGTTTCTGACGACTGAATACATTACCTCGTCACATGATGCAGGAGGTTTGAAGTACTTGTCTGGATCACAGATTCCTAGTTTGAAGTCGAGAACTCTCGAGTCGTCAACCTTGAGTTCTTTTCCTATTGAACAATGACAAAACACCTTGCAATTGAAAAAACATTTCAAATTTAAACAACGATGTATATCTCAGACTATGGAAAAGGAATATGTCGTTGATAATAAAGGGCTCGACCTGCCGGATTGTTGCTTGATCTATGTTTTTGCACAAATCCAGTCACAAGCTTTTTCAAAAGTTATAAGTATAGCAGCGTGAACAATAACATAGAAATGCGTTGGTCAAACTTCATTTAAATAGACTGTGTTTTGTCTTAAGAGTGAATGACGGGGTACCAGCTAATTTTCAGTGCAGTCTGGCGACTGCAGGAAATCTCAACTGTTTCTCCAACTTAACCTCTACGATGCAATGTATTAAAAAAATCACTCCCTGAGATCACACCCCCTGTTCAATTCAGCTTATTTTCTTCATTACAGAAGTTCTTTGTTGATCACTTTTCACTCCAATACCAAGGCTGATGTCGACAATATTGAAGGAAAAAACCCTAAAGCTCGAAGTAACCGTACTTCAGTGATGTGCATACACTGAACGAGTGAGTTAGGTTATTCAACGCAACGGTTTTCCTACATTCAAAATAATGGGTACTTTATATTACAGCACCTGTGTCTGGGTCAAATGTGCGAGTCAGGAGTCCCACAGGAACACACCCTTCATGTTGCACACTCTTGACAGAGTGCTCAGTCTTGTCTTCGCTGACAACGTACCAGTTGTCCAGGACAAGATCATAATCGCCAAGAGTTGCCTCACTTAGAAACTGGGCATCGTCTGTGAGGGTGATTCCGCCAAGAGAAAAAAGAGGAATTGAAACAAAAACTAAACCTAGCTATTCATTTTCCCCATCAATGCAGCTGTATTTAATGAAGAATGTTAAAATGCTTATTAAAATAAGCCAACCCATTGACTCCTGGAAATAGTTTTATCTGCCCCCCAAAATGTAAACGACAATGACTGCCTTCAATGAACACACATTTTAAGACAGTAATTGCCCTAAATGATCACACATTTCAGCAGATTAGCCTTGAGTGTAATGGCTCCCTCGATAGCATCCCTTGTTTAAGCTGAGTGTAATGGAAACATTCCTTGAATATTCTTCATTTGATGTTGCGTTCGCACTGTATTGGCCAAAGTCAGTTCTAGCTCTCTGCCTCCTCCTCTACACAACCTATTTAAGCGCATCCTCAAGTTGTTGATGTATTCATGTGCCCACAATGCCAACTTTCCGACTTACCATTCAGACACTCCTCATTGAATCTCCCTTCGGTGCGGCCAACGAAGCAGATGTCTTCTCCTGCATGCTCCAAAATGTAATACGAGACACCCTACAAAAAGGCAATATTAATTAAACAAGAAATCATAAAGTTCACTTTGAGCGTGAGTTGGTGAATTCATTTAAATGCAATTTGGTATTTAATTCCGATAGCTTCCTGCATGCAACAAGAGACACAAGTCATGGGATTGTCCAAAGAGTATCTGATATTTTATTTCCATTTCAAAATCTCTTGGCAGTTAGGAAAAGAAACGTTTACCTTTATGTAATCTTCAATGAGTCTCAGATATACTTCCGTCCCATTGAAATAATCGATGACAAGTTTGACCGCAATTCGCTCAAACTTGGCGTCATAGGCGCCCTCAGCGTTATCGTACTCAACCAGTAGACTGCCGTCTTGTACCGAAGTCGTCGTAGTAACTGCAATTGGAAATGTTTCTAAAGTGTAATTACCTACTGAAAAAGAACTCAAGTTTAACCATTGTATTTTTTTTGTTATTTCGTTTTTTTTTGTGTGCTTCAGGAAAACGTAGGGGCTCTCTACTATCTCTTTCCCTCCCATGAGCTTTGTTTCTTGTGACTTTAGACAGTCGCATCACTCACCTTGATTGAATGTAAAATATCTTGGAGCACAGCAAGGCTCATGCCTTTCTCCGGGTTGCGAGGCCCCAAACGGTACACTGGGTTGGAAAGCCATTGCCCCAACCACCAACATGCAAACAAGGAGACCGGACCACATTTTTTCGTGTCTTTCCGACTTCTTTGCTCTTAACTGCACTTTCTGTCGAAACAGTTGTCCAGTGCGCTCACGGTACACGTTCGGGAACGGAGTGGCGCTAGTATGCGTTGCCAGATTTCGTTCCAGGTCACGTCTGGGCGTCGTCTGTGATCCCCGGTTTTTCCATTGAGACGGTGCAGTCAGCTGTGCCAGTAGCCGGGGCGAGCCTGACCCGACGGATTAATATGCAAATTCGAAACTCCTGAAGAAGATGCATTGCTGTGGGAAGTAGTTTTCTCGCTTGGTGTACGTAATACCTCGAGTGTAGCCTTACCATAAAATTAATGGGAAAAAACTCCACCATATTTAGCGAAATGTCGTATAGACCTTTCATAACAATTCTTTCCAATCGGCCTGTAATCCAATTGATGTTTTCACTCAGACAGGGATAAATGTTGTCATTTTCAGGTAGTAATTTTTTGGATGTTCGAAACCAGTTGTCTTAGAGGTTGTGTTGGAAAGCATGAGAAAGTTTTCCCCAATGTCCATTTATACAAGTGGTTATTACGCAAGCAATGCCTGGAGGTTGAACAATGTCATTTGGTATGGTGACTGTTCAGAATATCAATAAATACAGCTGCCATTTGATTTTGGACAGGTGATCCATCGCTCCAAAAACAGGGTAAAGTAGAAGCCTCCGTACGTACAGAATGATGTACCAAGTACAGAAGCCCATACGGCCTTGCCCATATGGCCTTGCAATGGATTTGGTTTCTTCTACCCACCGTATAGATGAAGTAGCCCCCGTTCCCTTCAGCATCAATATTTTTAAACAGAAACATGTTTTGAATAATAAACATGATATACTAATTGCAATCAGGAGTTGGATGAGCCATTTAGTGGGTAATTATAGCTGGGAAAAATCTATGCAAATTTGTCGCTTGTTGCACCCAAAGAATGTAGCTCTGTCTATCGCCCCCTGCATGCTAGAATTACTTTGAGTTTATGAGAACATGAAAGTTGCACCGTCGATACAAAGTGCAGCTTCGAACAAGATTACAAATGATCATACTTAGACTGCCGCAGGTTTCAAGAATATAAATTCTTCCTATAGTAAACAACCCTACGTCTTTTCAAGGCTCAGTAATTATCTCACTTTTTGTCGAGACAGCCAAGGCCATTTTGTGAAACTACATGTACTTTCATCGCGTCACAAGTCTGGCTAACCGCGCTGTTCTGCTGGACAAAAGATTACGTGTGAAAGTGAACAAGGTTTTCTTGCTTAGTGTTCAAAATGAAGAATATTAAAAAATTCTTACCCAGAGCAATCCTTTAACTTTTCACCTCAGTGATTTATTTTCTTGCCTTTTGAGATAGCCAAGGACATCTTCTGAAACTGCATGCATTTCCATCATGTCACCGGCCTGGCATGCCAGAGCTTTTCCACTGCACAAAAGGTCAGAGTTTGAAAGAGAAAAAAAGATTTTTTGCTCACCTGGCAGTCTTCACAATGAAAAGCAGAAAAATTCCTGCCGTTAACAATCTCGATTTTCACCTCAATGATTTCTTTTCTTGCCCTTTTTTCGAGACAGCCAAGGACACCTTTTGAAATTTTCTGATCACACCATCAGTCTGGCCTACCAGGGGTTCATTCACCGTACAGAAGAGAGCATTTTCCGCTTACCTGGAAGTCTCACAGTGCCTAAATTCTTTTATGTACCACGCAGCCTCGAAAAAGATTTGAATAATTGGCATTCGAGGCTAATCCAAGGGAAACTGCAGTGCAAGTCATGGTTGGTGAAGTTTCAAATCAGCGTATCCATTTTGTATCTTTTTTCTTCTGTTTATAAAGTTATTTTAAGTGTAGGCCTATTGGAGAATATTGGTTTTGTCATTACATCTTTTTCCCTACAATCTGACAATCTCCACTCTTCTGGTTGATGGCAAACCGGGATTCAAGATTTACTAGAACATAAGATGCTTTCGGTGGTGGGTATCACGGCGGAAGTGTTTCTCTGGTATTCTCTCCTGCAGTTTTGCAGTCTGAGGCAGATGGTGCAAGATGATCGAGAATGAAAACATAAAAAAATAAAAGATAACAGTCATTATAATAAGTACAAACGACAATTGTACGTACTCTTTTCAAACAAACTTTTTATCATATTTTGTTTAGTTATTCTTTCTGCTTCAGGGGTGATTTGGAACACATGTCCCGGATTTTTGAAGTGACGTGCTTTGAAGTCATTCCCATTAAAGAGGCAATGTAGGCCTATCGGTGATATTTTATAAAGTCGACACGGGAATAGTTAGAACCTACGTTTCTTGTCTTCAGTGCCAAAATTAGAACCATTTGATGCTTGTGGCAAACATGTAACCCTCGGGGATGTTTTCTTGCATTGGGTAATGCATTTGATTTTCTTGTGTTTTCCAGTTACACACCAGAATTATTCCCTTGGCTACATTACTTAGCTCGCATTCTGCAGGGGGTTTAAACTACCTTTCTGGGTCGCAGATGCCCAGGCTGTAGTCGGAGCGGCTGTGCGTGTTCGTCCACAGCTCGGCACCTGAGTCAGAGCACATGTCTCCGGGTTAATGGAGAAACTCCTCACATTCCATGTTTGAAAAAGTGTGATTTGATCTTCCGTGTACGCAGATAGAATGCATAATGGAAATGGACCCCGGATATTCTCGTTGGCCGGGAGCAAAATGTTGAAAATGGAAGGCGGAAATCTCCCTATTCTTATAGGGAAAATTCCATCTTCCATAACCATCACTGTCACACAAAGTTGTGGCACAAGCTTTTTCTTCTCAATGATTGCGAGCCATATGGTACCTGATACCGTTTGTCCATTGCTCGACTGAAGTAGCCAAGATCAACATACTCCGGATTCTTAAAACTGTAAACCACGTAGACATCCTGGTCAGGGTCATCTGTGTATAGCATGTACCAATTGCCAGCCTTGAGGGCCCTCTCACCAATTGTCACCAAATTGATAAATTTACTCTCGTCTGAGGAAAAAGAAGAGCAACGAAAAGGATTTCTTCCTAATCTATGATGGTCTGATCAGCTCATTCTGACTGGCCGAAGTGCACCACAAATAATGCAACACATTAAAAGAGTCGACGTGCGTGGCTTCGATTACATTCAGTCAGTGGCTGCTGTACATGTTCAATTCATTTCATACATAAGATTTATAGAAACGTTTATCTAATACCACTACAAAACTTTCTTATTAGATTGTTTTGTGGAGCCCATACATTAATACACATGAAGTCACACGCACAAACATCGTATGTATCAAGAAATCAGAAGAACCAAGCGAAAGGAAGCATACATGTTCATAAAAATGAATGAATAATACCTGGTAGACAGTTGTACGGAAAATGCCTGGGGGTTGCAATTTTCTGGCATTCCGTCGTTCCTTTCTGTTTTGTAATGCGATATCGCTCCCCGTGTACCACAGTGAAACAAAACAAAACAAGTCAAAGCAGTTAAATTGTCAGCAGATACGCCGACGTTGTACGTTCAAATCGCATTTCATTTTTTACATCTTTTTTGTCATACTTAATATTAATTGAAAATTTTGTCTGAACTGTCAGACTGTAAATACTCAATAAAAATGTGAGCCTCACTTTCTTTAGCGCTTGGTCTGTGGCCCACTTTTGCCTGGCTCTTCCCTTTTGCTCTCTCCTCGAAAGGGCCCGGACTCATGTTTTCAGGGCTTTTTCGGAAAGCACCTACAAGCCTTATAAGTGTAAACAGGAGCACTGCAACATTTCTTTGGTTGCTGCTGATTGGGCAGCTTCCTTGCGAGTGGTGCCCCATACATCTTGAACGGGCCTCGGGTAGCTGAGACAGTGGTAACTAGGACGCAAATTACTACAACGTTGTACATGTTGATCGTCAGATAAATTGCCGATTAAACCTTTAAAACTGAGCGCTCTTAAGTAAAAGGCAGAGTTTGTTGGTGGGCTGGTACCGTACCACACCAATACCGACAACCACGGACTGGTGACGATCTACAATGCAGGAGAATCTCGGATGTCATTTTAATTTCAAAAGTTTATGGGTACGATTCTCTGATTAAAAAAAAAAGGAAGGTCGGGTTGTAGACCTGGTGTCATGTTGACCTCAAACACTATTTGCTGGGACTTGGTTGTTGACTCATATTCAAATATTATACTTTTTTACAAAGTTATGCAAATCGGTGAGGGGTACTCCGGAGAATAGACATAGAATATAATGACTTCCCGCTTTGTTTATATATTGTCTAAATCCATTTAGCTCCCACAGGGCAGTCCACATGTTTTAGGTCTATTGACATTCCTAATTTGGAAAACAATTGAGAGATTAATAGGCCTGATAAACAAGAAGCGGCAATGAAAAACCTGAGCATCACTTTGTCTCTCAGCTTAACACTTTTCGACGTCATGTTGGCAACCGTGACTGCGCAATCATACGAAATGCAATTAATTTGCAAACCAGATTCATGCACAGTTTTGCCGAAATTAACAATACACTTAAAACTCGCAGCTTTTCAAAAGACGTTGTTTGATATTAGCTGTTAAAACTTCAAGTACCAAAAACTATTTCATTAAACGAATAAAGTACGCCTTTTCACATTCTTTGTTTCCCTTCGCCAGCTTTATTCCTATTACACTGGACATGATTGTGGAATGTAAAACCTGTTCAAAGTTTGAGTTTGCTATTAAAAATATATCTTTGATGTAACAGACTCCGCGAAGGTTATCCTTTGAAACCCGTGGTTTTAAACACGAGGTTGTCTGACATTACAATAACCCTTTGACCTACGCGTAAGTCCTCCATAGTTTTTGTACACAGACTTCGAGAAAAGCAAGGGGTGCAAAAAGAAGGAACCTTTAGAGTTCCTCGATTGCACATTTAATCATACAGTGCAGTGTTTTTCAAACATGACATACAGATGCAATCTGTTAATTTGATTTGAAATAATTACACCAACTTTCAAAAAAGTTAAAGTTGTCTGCTGCTTTTTGATGGGTCGATCATTCCATGAGGTTGGGGCACAATTTGTGACGGTGTCAATTGTTACATGGGTTCTGTAAAAATGAACTGCCTGTGGATTAGACTCCAAACTGACATTGTTATACATCTTGCAAGGCTGAATACAGAGGTGTGTGTTACTTTTCAGAGTAAATGACCTATTCTACAGGTCATGACAGGTGGTAAAAATTACCCATGTAACAAGGACACCGTCACAAATTGTGCCCAACCTCATGGAATGACCCAGATATGTAATCAAAGCTGACATCTAGCGTAAAAGAAAAAAAATTAACTTTATAGATAGTTTCCCATAACCAGTAGAGTCATCTAAATGTTTAATCAGAGCTATTTCATGTCCATTGTAGTAAACATTTTGTTCTTATTTAATTCTCTCTTCAAGCCCGAGAAAGATCTCATGGTTTACTGAAACAAACGCTGCCCACGCGGGCCACGGAGTCCACCAATTCTCTTGGGAACGGAATTCACCCTCTTCACCTTGGCGGACTGCAAAAAAGAGAAAAAAGGCCAATGATCAACTCGGGCATAGTCAAAATCCAAACTGTTTTAACATGAAAGCATCGTAACTGTAGTTGAGGCGACATCCTGCTAGGAGATGTACCGACGTGAAGTTTCAAAATTATTTACCTTGCATTCCTCTGGAGGCTTAAAATACGTGTCAGGATCACAGATTCCCAGATTGTAGTCACTGATGCCAGTTCTGTCAACGCTTATCTCAGTTCCTGAACATGACGGTATTAGAATTGAAGGGGAATTACAAACCACTGTAAAGGTAAGGGTTGCTACAAAATTCGCAAACTCCACTTTTGGGACGTAAAATGTCGGAATTTCACTGATCTTCCGTGGTCAAACTTATGCTTTTTCACCATCAGCATCCAAGGATACACGGTTTATTGTCTACACGTGTATCAACTGAATTGACTGTTGCCAGAACATAATGCTGGTTGCCTGTTGCCGAATTCAGTTGACTTTGGGCACGTGGTCATCACTGGACAACAAACAGCCTCCATTTAAATAAACATGGGATAGCGCTGTCGCAGCCTCTTCAAAAATTACTGGCCCCTTTCAGGTGAATAATACTTCGGCATGGGTGTTGTGTCTATACCTGTTTCTGGGTCAAATGTTCGGGCGAGGTAACCCAGATCGATGCACTCTTCTTCCTTGATGCTGAAAACAATGTGCATGTCTTTGGTAGGGTCGGTCTTGTCATTGAAGTACCAGTTAGCCGCACGTAAGGCCCTGTCGCCAATGGTAACTGAGCCCACATACGTGCTCCCCTCTTTTGAATGCAATGAAACGGTGACAGAACAAGTGTGAGAAACATATATGACAAGAGAGCACTTAAGAGAAAATGGAAACATTAAGCATGTGGAACACGACACGGCATTAGCAAATGAATTCTGGACAACGAGCATACCCGTCCAAAGAACCGATTCGGCGTCAACGTGCTGTGCACGCAGCACGAAGTTTGCACGAGCTCGTTGTCTTCCAAAATGTTCTTTAATCTGCATGCCATCTCCTATTGAAGCTAAGCCCGCATGCGTACATGAACCCATACCTGGTATACAGTTGTACGGGAAGCCACTTGTAATGGGAAACTCGACGCATTTGGTTTCTTCTTCCTCAGTATAGATGTAGTAGCCTAGTCCCTGTCCACGAATAAACCAGCGTCAAGAGGCTTGTTAACATGGTCACGGAGTTCTTCACTACTGATCCCATGCTGTGACACAACTGGGGTACATTTTGCAGGGGGGCTTGGGGGCCAGAGGTGCATTCGTGACGGGTGCGGTTACAGTTAAAACACAGACCAAGCCTATCAACAAATATTCTTCGTCTATATAATTTCGAGGGGATGGGGACACGGCGGTACAGGCCTCTAGTGGGGGGGGGTCTTAAATGGTCCCACTTTAGCTACGCCACTGATACTATGATATGACATTGTTTTCCAAGCCTACACCTGCTGCTGTTTAACTCTGTGGCAGATCCAAGTTTAAAGAAAACTGAGGGAGATGATGCACAAGCCGAGCATTTGCGAAAGAATGGAGGTGAAGGGGTAACCTGAACATTAATATGGGTAGGGCAAATCTGTCTTTTCTCATCTAAACTCATGTAAAGTTGGGTTTTTTAGGTAATTAACCATTTGAGAAGCAGGTATGGCCTTTGAAAATTAGATTTGAAAAGCCCCTCCAGATCTACCACTGAATCTTTCAGTGGAGATACAGTTTATTTGAACATCTGTATATTTCAACAATGACTGGGAATCCTGGATGTAACTTTCTTCATCGTGAACGAAGGTGAACTGAATTCGGAGGATGCGACCCTAAGACAAATCCCTACCTCCTTGAAGTCGTTGATGAGCTGGTAGAGTTCAACGGTACCATTAGAAATGTGCAAGTCAACTTTCAAACCAAACTTCTTGTCAATGGAATCGTATGCCCCACGTGCCCGTATTAGCTCGGTGAGAAGTGAGCCTTCTTGCAGAGTATTAAAAACACTATCTGCGTACGTGAAAATCAAGGGGAAAAAAAATCAGTGCACGGAACTAACGATACAAGACAGAAAACAAAACAAGTTTGCGACCACTGCTAAGCTTATCTGACAAGAAATGAAGCAATGATTAAAATTATTTATGCGGCGAGACTACCTTTGAATGACCGCTGCCGGAATGAATACTACTGCGAAGTCGCAGAATGATGGCCCACTAGACTCGCACATAAAGTGCATGAAGAGAGACCCAGGAGCAGATAAAGTGAAAAAAATCCGAAGTTTTCATGAGGCAAAGTCAAGGTCCTCACCCCCTCAACTCTTAATTCAATATCTACCGGAGAACTCTCTTGAACATTCTGCACCTTGAAAACAAAACCAAATTCCTTCAATTTGAAGTAATAGTGAATTAATTGGTACATATTCAACTGGTAAAAAGATTGAAAATTCGTCAAATCTGGTGGCTAGTCTACAAAGAGAATGTCTGCATAGAAAGAGAAAGTTCTGGATGTTCCATCTTTAATATTTGGTTGACTGATGCACTATTCGACAAGTGTTAGACACCAGTCCTGTTGTCTCGTAAAACCTCTTTTCAACGTTTGAGAAACTTACACGACGTGGAAATCTCCAATTTTTTAGAGTACGATTTTTACGAGTAAGAACACTAGGATCGTCAACTGAGCACTTATTGTTACGCTCAAGAAACGCTCATGGAAGTAATTTTTAGGGGATAAAGGATTGAAGTAGTCCAACCTGCTTGGAAGGTGTAGTAGGGTTCAGCACAGCATTTTTCAGGCGCCGGCTGGTCCAACTTGTTTCCAAAGATGAACTTTTCCGGGCTTGCCGAGGCAGCCACGACGAGAATACACAGGATCACCGCAGCGTACATGGCGGCTATCGGAGGTCCTTGGTAGGGGTTGTGATGTGTGTGCCGTGCAGTCTTCAGTCCAAGTGCAACGGACCAACTTTCGCTTCTACATGCACGAAGTACTAAATTTCCCAGGTCAATTATTTGAATGACAATTGTGCTAACGCAGAGCAGACCATGATCTTTCATGCGTTTTGCTCAGTACGACCGAGTAGCTGCATTAATTATCAGGGGCACCGCGTAACACAACAACCTACTCAGTACGGAGCACCTATGACCAATCTAGCTAAAACTTCACATATTTGAACTGCAGTCGACTGACTGGGCCTGGGACGAGACCCAACGACACATTTGCATGGTTATCGACAATCTTTGTTGTAATTTACAAAGAAAACCACCGGCATTGCAATATGAACCAAGAAGCAACTTATGTTGGGAAAGTGGGATTCACAAGAAATGATGGTTGGACTAAGGTAGTCTTTGTGTGACTATAGCTGAACGCATTGGAACCATGCAAATGACCTTTGCTTAACAACAAATTGGAAAAGAAGCTTGAACAACCCTAGCAACACAGTTCATTCGCTTATCCCACTATGGTATTCCTGAGGGGACATCACACATCACATATATCTTTGCAAATATTAATTTCATGGATAGCCATGTTTGTTTCAGTAATTTAAAAATGCCAGACCCTAACCGAGCTGAAAAACCCAGTCTTCTGACTTTTGGGATAACGATTTACAGTATATATGTCAATGCCAGTCCGTGGTTTAGAGGATTTTTTCCGGGGGGGGGGCTGACTGGTCGTTTTCAAGGCTACCGACTCATTCAATTCACCATTGGTAAAGTAAGTGGTATATGCTGTCTCTTTTCTGGGCGTTAAGAATCCCAGGGTAAAGATCCATTGTACTGTCTCACGAAAGTCCCCGATGAATAGAACTGTAGTCAATAAATCCAGGAAAATAACACGGCGTGAAGCCAGTCGGGTAAAATCAACAAAATACCAGACGAGCACGAATGAACCATTTTCCTGGGGTCCTTGATGCTTTTTTTCATGGAGGGCAGTGCTATGAGGGACATAGTAAAAAAAATTCTCTTTCAGCTCATTTGTAGGACTAACTCGTCTGGTACGTTTGAGGTATACGTCGCACTGCACGTACAAGTCCCTGCTCGGCGAAATCTTGAAAATTGCCCAAATGTTTTGTTCTCTATCCAGAGTCTATTTGCCTTTGAATGAAATCCATTCATAGGATAACCAACTCAGGATGGAGTACTGTAACTTTGCGCAAGAATCCAAATTGCCTCGGCCCTCATTCCTTTGAAAGGTGAAAGTTGCTGAGATACAGTTGTAACTTACAAAAGATACAGTATTTGGGACTTCTATTTTGCCAGTTGAAATGTATCACTGAAATGAATAGAGTTTACAATTACCACGCAGTTTGTAAGTCAGGTATTTCTCCTAGCAAACCTCTAAGAGGCCACATAAGAAGTATTGGATTGTACTGAGGCACATCTGTCAAAATAAACATTAAAATGTGGAATGGAATTCTGAGTGCAGAAAAATTCACACTGTTATTACAATGCTTTGAGGGGAGTATCTTGCATTCCGCCCTCCATTTTAATGCCAGACTGCGTCCAAATAGCATATCTTGCGACTGTGACTTTGGTTTTGCCATCAACTCACTGCTGCTAAAGGCCATAGTCTCACACAATCATGGTGGTTTCCCGACAAGGCCTGACACCAAACAGGTCATGTTGAAGGAATTTTATATGATTAAAACAATAGAGATGTGAATCAAGCCATTTAGAGGCGCTGCTGGACAAGTGGATTGCTGTTCAGCTAACGACGTCTATGTCTTCACACTTTAATATCAGAGGGACCATGCCCCAATCGATTGCCCTAGGCACTACTATTATTTTTTTTTTGCACACAGTGCAGTGATTATGGGCAGTACTCTTGTTTGAGATAACACCATTTGAAAGGATTCAGTCTTCACAAGAAGAATCCTTGCATTTCTTTTCAAGTAAAATAGCGAACCATTTTAGGTTTTTTATTTTATCACCAAATATTATTATGGGTCTTTTCTTTCAGTTTACGAACATAAACTAAGGTTCGCGATTACACTGTGCATACAGAAGTGGAAAATCCTTAAATTAAAACAAAAACAAATCCCCAAATAAATAACCAGAACATGAAGGATAAAGAAAATAGCTGTGTTTACCTGTCGTCAAAACAGGAGACACTTGTATTTTTGGAAGTGCGGGTTTTCTGTGACTGTTGTCTTTTTAGAAGTCTGCAACCAACCACCCGTACCACCTCCCCGTGAGCATGTTGCCACCGCGGTGAAAGTTTCAATTTTAGTGGCTGAATCAGTAAGCAAATCGGGGTATTGAGTCCTTGAAAGGAAGCCTTTGTGTAACTTAGGGACTAATGGTGCACAACAATAAGTTTTCAGTGTGACGGAGAGCCAGACGTCACGTGAACGAAGGTCCTTAGGCGCTACCCATGACTTGCCAGCATATATCTCATCAAGACTGGACAAAATACATATGCAGTTATAGACGTGCTGGATAAGAACAGTATTTAAAATTGGCCCCTGGAAAATCTGGATTTACAACAAAAGAGTTTATGATACAAAGAAATTGGTTTTCTTATCAAGTTGATTGAATGTGAAGTAAAATAATGACCAAGAATCGGTCATGACGACGGCTGGCCAACGGAACAAGTACACACAAAACGTGAAAGAGTATGATGAATCATGGAAGAAGGACGAATCTTATTTTTTTCTCGATTGCTGTGCTGTTGAAAGGGAATAGCACTGCTCAGAACTGTCGCCATGTTTTGTGAGCCAAGGTTTAAAACTTTCTTTTTGAAGAAGAATAATGAAGGATGAAATTATCTAATAAAATAAACATCAGGTTATCTTGAGTAATATGATCTTGAATGTTATACAAGACCACTAGGGTGCACATTTGCTTACTTGCTCCCCTTTTTGATAGTTTCATTCATACTGCCTTGAACATAGTGTAGGCACTCATTCACAGGACTGCTCTTACCGTTTGGCTAGAAATTCACCACCAATCTTGACGATTAAAATGCACTGATGCGAATTGCTTTTTAGCTACTGAAACGTTAACATTAAACAGCATCAAAGCCTTTTAAACACCCAAAGGACATATACAAAGAGGAAAGAAATAACTTCGTGGGTCAGCGTTTTTTCTTTGTGGACGACGCGCAGTGCATGTTTGTAAAGACACACTGCGCACTGATATACGTGCAGTTGAGAGGCATCAAACCGAGTCTCTTTCTTACTACAATGCTCTGAACTTCCAACTGTTGATCCTAAAGTTTCTGAACAGCAACACCCAGGCTGGATATAAACTCGATACCCTCTCCACAGGACAAGACAAAAAACGGTCATTATCCGTGTTGGTGTTGCTCTCATTGAGGACGAATGCGATCGGTTAAGCTCGATTAATTGGTAGGACAAATTTGATTAGGAAAAAAAATGTTGTCTAGTTTCATCGTGTGCGTGCTGGTTGTTAGTGCGGGCGCAATGGCGGTGAAAAAACCCGTCTTGAATGCCCAGACCGTGTTCGGCATCTCGCCAAGGGAAGGCGAAGACGAGCGCAAACCTTGCGCTACTCCAAAGTACTTCACCTTTGATCAAGGTAAGCAAGACCTAATTATAATTAATTTCGGTTTGAGATATTTTACCGCCTGACAATGACGTGTAATATTCAAGTTGTATCCAAACTTTCATTGACGTACAATGAAAACGTTGGTTCAGGCAGAAACGACATTTTATAAGGTGTATGGACACGAAGCCCTCGTTTGATGCAGCTGCACTTCAAGTCTAATTTTAGCTTAACATTTTACTGTCAATACAGGACGCCTGTCAAATGGCTTTTGTGTTGGTTACAAGTCTTTTTTTCACTCGTTGTTAAATCTCATCAGAACCAAGAGAAACCTACCTACCTGTTTTATACACTGTCTACAGCCGATTTCATGACGACTTTGGAGGAAGGTCGTCTTACAGTGGAGTACGTTAACTTTCACGGAGCTTATGACGAAGTTCTGAAGAGGTACTCTGTTGAGACGTTTCTGGACTTTTTCAATGGCACACTGCTCCACCTGAAAGTAATAGCGGAATACGATGAGGCAAGTCCCACCTAATATATATAACCGATTATATCATTCGATGGCACTGAAAACAACTAGGATAGAATGAATATTTGTGACGTAGGGTAACAAATATGAGGAATCTTTTAAATTTTTATGACTGTGCATTTGTCTTGCTCTTTTTACATTTTATCTCAAAACGCAGTGCAGTTAACTTACCACATGGGAATACTGTTGAACTGAATACACAAACAATTAGCATTTTATGGCGCATTTTGCCATTTAGTTGGTAATTAGTTTAGTTGATAAAACAGAGTTCTATGCAGTGTGATCACTTGGCACCCTGTGCACAAACCCCACGAGACTGGTTTGTAAATTTCGAAGTGTTTTCTACACATGCTTCAATATTTTTCCCCTCCAAAAGTGTCTTTTTGGAACGTATTTTAACGTTATGGTGGCTGATAAACTATTGCAAGGGAAAATTAGTGATGTCCGTACATGGAACTCGTTCCCAACTGAATAACGGTCATGCATCTGTGAAATTATTGACCGACTTTCTTCAGACAGTGCAATAACAGTGGTGTATTTCCTAATATTTGTGGATTACTTAAACTCGGAAATAAAATGTTGAACGACTGAAATCTCTTTGTAATTGGAGCCTGAATGTTTTTTAATTTCCAAGGGTACTGACAGCCTCAAGTGTGATATGTACCATTTCGGTAAAATAAAATTTGTAATGGTCAGTTGAAATATTTCCAGTGATGACAGTCTGCGTGCAAAATGGCGATCAGTGTTTGGAAAAACAGGAAGTATATGACCAAATATAGCTCCCTTCAAAACGAGCACGAAGTAAACTCTTGTCGATTAATTTGCTGTTTTATTAATCACCATTATGCATTGCACGCGCATATACATGTTTAATCACTGGCATTCTATAATTGGTTCATAGTAGATCGTCATAATAATACTTCGTAATCTAATAAATACAATGTATTATACAGTCCTGCAGTTAAATCAAATCGAGGACTCAGGAGGTATTGAGTTTCTTTTTTTTTTTTTGAGAAAATCCTCTTCTTTTTTATTTACAGGGAAAGGGATACCTTGTACAGAGATTGGGAGATGAGATCGAGTGCGAAGTATATGACCTCGAGGGGAAAAAATTCCCGGAGGAGTTCTCTTTTCCGGGTAAATGATTAAAAGTGCTGTTGACGATGAAGACCTTGTGGTCTGAAATTAGCACCTGTTGCATAATGGACTCCCAGTCTTTTAATTTCACATTTGGGCCAAGTCCGAATTAATTGACAGCGGCTAAAATTACACACAACAGTGTAGTGGCTGCAGCTACCTCGTCGTAAACCTGTGTTGAATATCAACCTGCAGGCTAGTTTATTGGGGCACAGACTCTGTCTTGTGGGTCCACGCACGCTGCGCATGGTGGCCGCCAAAGCCCGCTCTTCTGACTTATACTGACTACTGACTTATCTTCTTGAAACTGTTTTGTGCAAGTACACTGAAGGCCTATCTAAGTCTTGCTCTTGTTGATTAAAGTTTCCTTCTTGTATTACTCTGTGTTGGTATTCTGTACTTGCAACAGAGGATGCTACGTTTCTTGCTGACTCAACCTTGGGCGATCGTGATCTCACTGTGGAAAGCTGGTACTACGTCAGCGAAGATGGAACCAAACACAACGTGAAGACCGTGACGAAAGATGAATGTGTACCAGTGTCACTGTTCAGTCGTAAATTCGACCCCGAAACTGGTGAGACGCATTTTGTAATTTCCCTGATAGATTCCAGGGGTACGTTTCAACGCCGAATGGGGTTGAGGTGTTCATTGTGTGGTTGGTTTGTTCTCCACCTGTTATATGGACCTTGGCATACAACACAGGTTTTCGAATTATGCGAACCTTCTGTGGGCTATCATGAAAGCCATGCCCATGTAAGGTTATTACTTTCAAAAAACAAAGTTGTACAGGTTTTTTGAGTTCGGTTTGTGTGAGAAAATGAAGAGGAATATCAAGGAAACCACCAACAACACTTCAGCTTAAAATGACAGAATGTAAGACAAATCTGTCTTTGTCTGCATCTGGGCTAGGGGTTATGAGGAAGTTTCGCGGATGATTCCTGAAATATATTCGTTGACAGGAAGAGCGAGTATGAAGCAGTGCTATATCCAATAGTAGTGACCTCCTGTTTTCTAAGGAATTGTGAACATCCCAACTTTCATCACCATTTTGGGTACAAGGATTCTTTTATCCATAAAAAAACGGACAGTTTATGTGAAGAACACAAGTCTTGAAAAATATCGGAATTAAACAGTGCTTCCATTTAGAAGTAATTATAACCGTGTCAATTATAACTGCTTTGATTGTATTTTGTTAGGGGAGGAACTTGAAGTGGTGAATGGGCAAGTCATCAATTTTAAACTTGGAATCTGTGACCCGGAAAGTTACTTCAAAATCCCAGAGGAGTGCAAGGAGGTACAAAAACATGAAACTTTTGCTTTGAAATTCGTTCAAACTACTGGTATATGAAATGAAATCAAAAACGGCAAACCGATCTTATTCAATGTGTTCACGATCCAAGAATCACTTTTAATTTGCTGGAGTTTATTGTACTCTATACACTCCAATCCCAAGTTTAATTGCAGCCGCTCTTGATTCCGATTCACATGAAATGATTCCTTTAACTGTGACAACTATTTGGTATACAGTCATATTTTTCAGGGCACTGTCATTTTTCACCAGAGTTTCTTACAATTCGAGTTAGATTTAAAGGGCATTAAAAACTATTTGCTGATCAAAAATTGTCATTTGGTCTTTCTCTTCATATCGTTCTCCTGTAGGTGGGAGTCTCGAAAGAGCTTTCCAAGAATATGAAGAAGATGCATCGGTTTGGCCTGATGTAATGCGTTGCCTTCGTGATTTTGAGTCGTGAATAAACAAGCGAAGCTCCTGTCTTGATGTCAACTATGCGTTAAGTGTCCTTTGTGTTGTGGGTTTATCTCTTAAAGATCTTGAACTGTTTTATTTGCTCTTAATAACTTACGTACTTTTAACTGATATATGATCCTGGTAATGCACGCACCATATTATTTAGAAAGCAGTTTTAAATTTGATGCACGTTTCCCTATTTTTTTGTGAAGTTTACGTATTTTAAAGACTAACAACACTTCATCCCTTGCAATAAAACTTTATTCACCACATCTTTGATTTAACATTAATCGTAAAAGATCTATAAGACATGATTTCAAGGCAATTTAGGATGACTTACTTGATGGATAAGAGCATCAAAAACATGTATTTGTAGCTTGAACAAACACTTATTTTACATTACAGTTATTAGAAACATGTTAGGTATTCTTTATCCGAAACCAGTTACGAGTAAATATATTTAGATGAACAATAAAATCATTGCAACTGAATCCATTCAGCGTACATTATACCCACACTCTTTATTGTATGAAACTCAATATTAAAATTTGCCAGATACCGAATTTTTTGGGCAAACTTGCCTCGGAAATACGGGCTAACAGGAGGTCCAGGTCCCATACATCAATTTTCATTTCACATCCAGGCCAATCATTATCTCCGTGGACACCCTAGTCCGATGTACGTCAATTTTCATTTGGTACCCAGGCCATCATTAACTCAATGCATGGACACACAGGTCCGATGTTCATCAATTTCCATTTTGCACCTCGGCCAATCATTAACTCATTGCTATGGAACACAGAGCACACCCAACCCCCAAGAGTACATGAGAGGGAATGGCTGACCCCTTACAAACAGTACAAACTTACAAATACCAAAATCCATCAGACTTTCTGAGAAACAGTATCCACTGTTAACAGTAACCATAATAATCATGATACATGTCAAATCGTGTATGCATTAGGATAAGGCTGTCTCCGAATCCTGTTAGAAAACGCCATTTCTTAAACCACAGATCGCTACAAGTCCCTAATTCGGACAGGGGCAAGTCCTCATCACTCTAGTGGGAAAAACTGAGGGGGGGGGGACGCCTTACTGCATCACTTTGGAGCCAGCCCCTGACCAGAAACCAGAGACCTGTTTTGGGCCTTGTGTAGCAGTAGTGCCCCTAATCCAAAACATTGCAACTTTGGAAAGATTAATAGCTATTACCTAAAAGTTAACAACATGCTCATTTTAATTGTCTGTTTCCACTTCCAGGGGCACGCCTTGAAGTAACCGACACCAACCATGATGAAGTTCCGAAACCATTTTGATTATTCTTTGGGGGGATTGACAGTGTTATCGGAAACGAAGTTCAGAGCAGATTCTGTCCTGGTTAAGGGAAAGCTGTTTCGTGAATATTCCTCTTTTAAAGTGTATTAGCCAAGCACATGCACACTTTTGGACCGGTAGCATTTTGTAAATCGCGACTTTGCAAAAGAGGCAGTCCGCAACCACATGACTTCGATAACAACACGGTGTATGCCATAAAGAATATTGCAGAACCTAATTAGGATCGTGTATTCGAAACCGAACAAAAAAGCAAAGCAGTGTTCCAAAGCTATTTTTTCTTTAAAAAGATGATAAATGTACGTACCCTACAGCGTATGCATCGACAACTCAGACGTGGGCTTATGATACTCCGTAATCAGTGCTTATAGTAGGTTAATATGCACGATTCACCATGTGACCAACACTTTATATAAACAATATAAAGATTTCAGAGGGAATGCCAAACATTAGCCTTCTTGACTCATTCAAAAGTTTATTTTTGGTGATAGGCTACGCAAAACTGATGTGTTTCGTATTTCAGTGTAATCTCTTTCGGGGCATGTATATCCAATCTCCATTTTGTTAAATCCATAATTATGTTGTGTCAAAATGACGAGGGTTGGTACAGTCGAAAAGGTTGCTATAATTGTACTCGTATGTAATTCAATCTTTAAACGTTTTCAATCTAATGACTGGTTTTGCGCATCAGATTTCATGGAGCTTGTATTACTCGTGGATAATGATAATGTATAACAATTATGTAAATGACTTGGCTGTAAATTTCATTCTCATATGTCCCACCCTCTATCAGTATTTAATTAGTCGAAGTTTAAATGAATTACCACAACAATTTAATCGGCACAGACTCACGAAATGTGTTTGTCTCGCATTTATAATAATAGGCTGTCTCTTATTAAAGGTGTACTTGAAATACCAAACATATGCTTACTCTTACTTTTATATCGCATTAGTTTTTACTTTCATTCTTAGACCCTGCTTTTACTCAAGTTGTTTCACGAAGTTAAATAAAATGGTTCTCTTTTTTTAGCAAGGCACCATGTGTTCTTTATTGTACTTTATATAAACCGATTCAAAGTTTTATTAAGCGTTTAGAACGAATGGCGCATTTTTCAATTTGATGCACGTTTCGTTAAAGTTTTGAAGTTTGCGCATGTTAAAGACAAACAACACTCCATCCCTTGCTATAAAACGTAGTACCCACCATATCCTTAATTTAACATTATTCGTGTTGTTGTTCGCTATTTGTCATTGAATGTGTAGATATCAATCTGGCGTGGGTTCGTAGATGGCTGGAGAGGCCTATCTGGGCAAGGAACCATCTACCCCAGAAAGAGCACTGCAGTGGGTGGGTGGAGTGCTGAGGTGCTGGTGGCTCTTGCCTTGCGTAGCTCAGTGACAATTGATGGCAGTGACGATGTGTCACTCTTCTGCTGTCCGGGCACCTTGGAGACAGTCCGCGCCATGCCATGCGGTGTTCTGTCTGGGACTCCCAGGACTCAGCGTCAATTTTGAAGTCTTGTAAGGAGACTTTCAGATAGTCCTTAAAGTGCTTTCTGTAGCCACCGACAGAGCGCTCGCCATGATTGAGTTCCCCGTAAACGAGCCGCTTGGAGATGCGGTCATCTGGCATCCGGGAAACGAGGCCTGCCCATCTGATCTGGGCCCTGCTCATGAGATTGGTTATGCTGAGCGTGCCTGCTTCACTCAGGACTTCGTTGTCTGGGAACTTTGTATTGCCAGCGGATGTTGAGAAGGTTTCGGAGACAGCGCAGGTGGAACTTTTTCAAATGCCTCTCATGTCTCTCATAGACTGTCCCTATCTAGAAGGTATATATAGGGGGATTCAAGACCACAGCCTTGCATAGGCTTTGAGTTCTGTGGTAATGGGATCCCTCTTCACTCTCAGACGTTTGGTCTGAGTCGTCCGAAGGCACTGCTTGCTTTGGAGCTCTGTTGATCTCAGCTTCAATAGTGGCTAAGCGGGAGAGTCTGCTGGCAACGTACATGAAGCTGTAAACCGTCTGGAGTTTTTAGCCCGTCACGGTGAAGGTAGGCTCATGGTTGGGTTTGTCAGGGGCAGGTTGAAGCATCACCTCCGTCTTCTTGGTGCTGACGGTTCGGCTAAAGTTGTCGCAGGCTGTCGAGGTGTCCACCTGAGACTGCATCTCATGCCCATGGCAGGCATTGAGGGCACAATCATCAACAAAGGGGAAGTCTCTGACGGCCGTCTCAGTCACTTTGGTGACTGCCTTAAGTTGACTTAGGTTGAAGAGTTTACCATCGGTCCTCCACCTGATGGAGATGCCGACATCCATGTCTCTAAAGGCGTGTGTGAGCATAGCAGAGAACGTCATGCTGAAATAGTGTTGGCGCCAAGACACAGCCCTGCTTGACACCACTGGTCACTGGAAAGGCCGCCGATGCATCTCCATCGTTCAGGACCTTGGCCATCATACCGTTGTTGACCTGGAGCACAATGGAAAGGAAGGTCTCTGGGCAGCCAAACCTACACAATCTTCCACAAGCCCTCCCAGCTGATATTGTTGAAGGCCTTGGTAAGGTCCACGAAGGTGGTGCTGCTCCATGCACTTCTCCTGCAGCTGCTGGGTGGCGAAGACCACGTCCACTGTCAACCTACTAACACGGGAACCACACTGGCTCTAAGGGAAGTGGCTTTACTCAAGGTGTTGACTAGGCGGTAAAGCACGACGGGGCCAGAATCTTACCGGCGATGGACAAGAGCGAGATTCCCCTGTAGTTCTCACATGACTGCCAGTTCCCTTCCGTTTGTAAATATGAACGATGGTGGCATCCGTAAACTCTTGGGGAGCTGTACCTTACTTCACATGAACTGAAAGAAGTTGGTCGGCAAACACTGCAGGACTTGTAGATCTCAGCGTCTGCACCAGGAGCTTTCCAGTGGACATCAGTTGGTAGCCTGCAGGACCTCGTCTAGAGTAGGAGTCAAGCAGTCAAGGTCTGGGTTGCAAGCCATCTGTAGGAGGCAGGTGATGGCAGTATCATTAATTTCTGACGGTCTGTTGAGTACGCCATTGAAGTGCTCTGTTCACCTCTCCAGAATCGGCTTTTTGTCAGAGAACACAAATCTTTTCGTGTTGTGCCGGTCAGAATAGCCCTGAATCTCATCAGCCCTGGCGTTGAGCGAGGAGTCCTGCATGTTGCGGAGCTTCATTTGAACTTTGGTACGCACGTTGGCAAAGGCGGCCCTTTTGGCGGAGTTGGAAGGATCGCTTTGGTAAACCCTGAGTAGGCGGTGCTTCTCCTCTAGGAGATCTTGAATGTCAGTGTCGTTAATGGCAAAGCAGTCCCGGTGGTTTCTAATTGCTGGGCCCAGGGTCTCGTGGGCGGTGGAGTGGACTATGTCTGTGAAGGATGCCCACTGCTCATCGACACTGATTTCCGTGCTGATGTTGCTGTTGAGTTTGCTGTCAAGAGCGCTGGCGCTCCTGTGCTTTTAGAGTAGACTTCAGCTTGCTGACATTCAGTCTCTTAACGACCTTCAGTCCCGGGGACGTCCTCTTGGCCTGGAAGTGGAATGCCATTTTGGAGATAATGAGGTGGTGGTTAGTCCAAACAGTCTGCACCTGGTCAACTGGCCGCATGTCACGCGTGTCCTTTATCTTGACGACTAGTCGATTAGATTCCAGTGCCGAGGGCGAGGGACGTTTTGTTGCGGGTTTGGAGGCGGAACATAGTCTTGGTAATAGTTATTTCGTGGGTGGCACAAGTTCTGAGCAAGAGGAAGCCGTTGATGTTACACTTCTCTACACCAAGCTTTCCGATGACCCGGGCCTACGCTTGGTGGTCGGACCCGATGCGAGCATTGAAGTCGCCGTGAATGATAAGCTTCTCTAACTTAGGGACGGCAGCAATAACGGCATCGAGTTCCTCATAGAACTTGTCCTTAGCGCTTCTTCAGAGTTGGACATGTGGGAGCGCGTGCGATGATCAGCGTGGCACTCTTCCTGTTTACCAGTGGAAGCTGCATAGACATTAGTCGATCATTGAGGCCCTGTGGAATGCTGGTAGTTAGGTTTCTTTACAAGTTGGCCACTGAGGCATCGAGAAAAAGGTGTAGCCATCTCCGATCTCCGTCTTGGAAGTGAGTCCCAATGAGGGCTGCAATATTGAAACTGTAGCGGGAAAGCTCTCTGCCTACCGTATCGGTTCTCTTTTCAGCTTTTTTAAAGCCTTGTTGTCCAGGAGGGCGAACGTTCCATGCTGAAAAGGTTAAGCTTAGTTTTCTTCTTCTTCTAAATAGCGCTTCTCTTTCGTTAACGGGGTTGGCGGACTCCACGGCTACCCCCCATCCAGTGAAGAACGAATCTATGGCCCGAGCCTGCAGGTTCACGGCTGCAGCTTGGGTGGATCCTCAACTGCTGGTTTGCCAATTCTCAATAGCCACAGGACTTTGGAGTACAATAAGTTCAGGAGTGTGCATGACTTGCGATGGATTTGGATTAAAGTGAGAGAGGGCTGCGCAGGATACCAACCACACTCTCTTTCCACGACCTTCTGTCCAAGTGGCAAGGCGCGGCTGAGACAGCTGGGGGAGGTACAGGATGGAGCGGGATGCCCAGGACGACCTATGTGTCTCACCATGCTCTGTGGTGCGTCCCGCCGCTGCGGTGCTGGATGGTGCATTAATGTCCGTTGAACTATGGCCGACGGGCTGGGTTTCTTCATTAATCATAATAGTTGGAATCGATAATATCTGATTTTATGGCAATTTAAGTTAACTTAATTGATGGATAACCCTGCACTTTGTGTCTTGAACACTTATCTAATAGCATCAGTTATTCATATCAATATGTATTCTTTATTGAAAACCATTCGTTAATTACGAGTACATATATTTAGAAGAAGAATAAACCCATTGCAACCGAATCCATTCAGCGTACAATATCAGACAATCACATGCTAAAGTCGACCTTTCTTTAATTTGTTCTTATTGCAAACAGTGCAGTGAATGTAGGCAGGAGGTCTTGTTTCAGATAACGCCATTTAAAAGGATTCACTCTTCGCAAGAAGAATCCTTGCATTTTCTTTTCGAGTAAAATAGCGAACCCTTTTAGGTTTTTGTTTTTAACACCAAATGTTGTTATGGGTCTTTTTCTTTCAGTTTAGGAATACAAGCTCGGCTTCTCGACTACACTGTGCTTACAGAAGCGAAAAACCCTTAAAAGTAAAAGAAAACCAAAAAATAAATGAAAAGAAGGATGCAGAAATTAGCTTTGTTTGCTCGTCGTCGACACAGTAGACACTTGTATTTTATAAATTTTTAGAAGTGCGGATTTTTTTTAAGACTGTTGTCCAATTAGAAGTCTGCAACCAAACCGCCCGTACCACCTCCCCATGAGCATGGTGCCACCACGGTGAAAATTCCGATTTAAGTGGCCGAATCAGTAAGCAAATCGGGGTATTGAGTCCTTGAAAGGAAGCCGTTGTGTAACCTAGGGACAAATAGTGTTTCCAGTGTGACAAAGAGCCAGACGTCACGTGAACGAAGGTCCTTAGGCGCTACCCATTACGTGCCTGCATAGGCCTACCTCATCAAGACTGGACAAAATACATGGGCAGTTATAGACGTGCTGGATCAGAACAGTATTTAAAATTGTCCCCTGGAAAACGCTGGATTTACAACAAAAGGGTTTATGATACAAAGAAATCGGTTTTTTTATTCAATTTGAATGTGAAGTAAAATGCTGACCAAGTATCATTCATAAGGACAGACTGGCCAACAGAACAAGTACGCGACAAACATTTAACAGTATGATGGTCTCATTTTTTCCTCGTGGAAGGATCACTTTGTTGTTGATAGGGAATGACACTGCGCAGAACCGTTGACATGGTTTGTGAGCTAATTGTGCTGTTTTAAAACTTTATTTTCCAATAAGAACAACAAAGGATGAAATTATCTAATACAAAACCTTTTGACCTTTTTGATAATGTTATTCATGCTGCCTTGAGCATAGTGTAGGCACTCATTCACAGGAGCTGCTCTTTAATTTTTCCTGGAAATTTACGACGCATCTTGATGAAAAAAACTACATTGACTGCGAATTGCTTTTAAGCAACTGAAACGTCATCATTAAACAGCGTCAAAGCATTTTAAACACCCAATGGACATATACAACGGGGAATAGAATAACTTCGTGGGTCAGCGTTTTTCTTTGTGAACGATACGCAGTGCGTGTTTAGAAAGACACACTGCGCAGTTATACACATGCAGTTGAGAGGCATCTAAGTAAGTGTCTTTCTTGTTATAATGCTCTGAACCTTTCAACTATAGGCCTAGCTTCTGAACTGTAATACCCTGCCTGGGTCGTATGAGCCCGCTCGGTCCCCTCCACAGAACTAAGACGAAAGACGGTCATTATCCCTGTCGGTGTTGCTCTCGTTGAGGACGAACGCGATCGGTTAAGCTCGATGTCTTAATAGGACAAAATCTGATTCCGAAATAATATGTTGTCTAGTTTCATCGTGTGCGTGCTGGTTGTTAGTGCGGGCGCAATGGCGGTGAAAAAACCCGCCCTGTATGCCGAGGACGTGTTCGGTATCTCGCCAAGGGAAGGCGACGACGAGCGCAAACCTTGCACTATTCCAAAGTACTTCACCTATGATCAAGGTTAGCAAGGCCTAATTATTACGGTAATTTAACTAATTTAATTTCGGTTTGAGGTATTCAACCGCTTTACAATCACGTGTAATATTCAAGTTGCATTCAAACTTTTATTGACGTACAATGAAAAAGTTGGTTCAGGCAGTATCGACGTTTTTATGAGGTGTATGGACACGAAGTCCTCGTTTTCTGGAATAGGGCTGCACTTCAAAGTCTAAGTTTAGATAGTATTTTACTGTCAGTACAGGGAGTCTGTCAAATGGCTGTTGTGTTTGTTAGAAGTCTTTTTTCTCTCGATGTTATAGCTCATATAAACCAAGAGAAACCTTCATACCTTTAATACACTGTCCACAGAGGAAGTGATGACGACTTTGGAGGGAGGTGGCCTTACGGTGGAGTACATTAACTTTCACGGAGCTTATGACGAAGTTCTGCAGAGGTACTCTTTTGAGACGTTTCTGGACTTTTTCAACGGCACACTGCTCCACCTGAAAGTGATAGCGGAATACGATGAGGCAAGCTTAACCTCGTATAAAACCGATGACTTTAAGATCAACTATGATAGAATGTATCACGGGGTAATAACCATTAGGGGTCAGTTAAATTTTAATGATTGTGGGTGTTCTTGCTCTACACTGTTGAAATGATAAGTATTTTACGGCAAGAACAAGTAAGTGGTGAATGGCAAAAAATAATGGAGAGTCCTAGACATTGACATCACTTGACACTCTGAGCACAAACCCTATGAGACCGGTACAAAAATTGTAAGTGTTGTCTAACTAAACGCCTCATATTTTTCGGTACAAAATTGTCTTTTTTGGACATGTTATCGTGTAGTGATGACTGGTATTGTAGGGGTATAGTGTTGATGGCCGTGAATAGAACTCTTTCCAAAATGAATCCCAACGATGCATCTGGGAAATTTATAGTCTGATCGAATTTCTTTGTAATCTAAAAAAAATATTGAGTATAAATTTCTGCAGTTGCATCAAATCGAGGACTCAAGAGGTTCTCTTCTTTTTTATTTACAGGGAAAAGAATACCTCTTACAGAGGTTGGGAGATGAGATCGAGTGCGAAGTATATGACCTTGAGGGGAAAAGATTCCCGGAAGTTTACTCTTTTCCAGGTAAATGATTAGAAGTGCTGTTAACGATGAAGACCTTGTGCAAGGTTTAAAAATAGCACCTGCTGCATTATGAACTCCTAGTCTTTAAGTTCACAGCTTGGCCGAGTCCAAATTAATTGACAGCGGCTAAAATCATACACAACCGTGTAGAGGCTGAAGCCACTTTATCGTAAACCTGTGTTGAATATCAAAGTGCAGGCAAATTTATTGGGCCATAGCCCTGCAGGTGAGCTTGTTCTGTGCTCTGGGTCACGCACACACGGCGTGACTGTCGCCACAGCCAGCTCTTCATTTACTATACGTCTTGCCCAAACCAGAAAGTTTGCAGGTTGCAAAGGAGCAATTTCTACATAAACTATGCGATTCATCAATTTAAACTGTTAGCAAGTACTTGTACTAATAAGCAAGATTGTGTTGATCAAAAGTCCATGTTTTACGTTGTATTGAATACATCTAGTTAGTCGAAATTATGGAACCCCTGTTTCCAAAATGGAAAGAAAGTTTTTCGTGCAAATACACTGTATCTAAGCCTTGCTCCTGTTTATGAAGTTTCCTTCTGGTATTACTCTCTGTTGGTATTCTGTACTTGCCACAGAGGATGCTAAGTTTCTTAGGGACTCAACCATAGGCGATCGTGATGTCGCTGTGGAAAGCTGGTACTACGTCAGCGACGATGGCACCCTGCTCAACGTGAAGACAGTGACGAAGGACGAATGTGTACCAGTGTCACTGTTCAGACGTAAATTCGACCCTGAAACTGGTGAGACGCATTTTGTAATTTCCCTAAGAGATTCCAGGGATTTACGTTTCAATGCAGAATGGGTTTGAGGTGTACAATGCGTGGTTGGTTTGTTCTCTACATATTACGTGGACCCTGGCACAACACAGGTCCTCGCAAAATGCGAACCTTCTGTGTACTATTAGAGCGATGCCCATGTAAGGCTTTGATCTTTCAAAAACAAAATTTTACAGGTTTTTTGAGTTCGGTTTTTGTGAGAAAATGAAGAGGAATATCAAGGGAACCACCAACAAAACTTCAGCTTAAAATGATGTTTATTTTATAATGTAAGAAAAATCTGTCTTTGTCTCTTTGAAAGATATAGGGGTTATGAGGAAGTTTCAAGTTCGTGGATGATTCCTGAGTATAATGGTTGAAAAGTGGGGGTGCCCTCCCACAGTTTTTTAAGGAATTGTGAACATCGCAACTTTTGTCACCTATTTGGGTTGCAAGAATTCTTTTACCCATAAAAAAGCAGACAATTCATTTTAAGAACACAAGTCTTGAAAAAAAAGGAATTAAAACAATGCTTTTAATTAGAGGTAATTATAATTGTGTCAGTTACAACTGGTTTGATTGTATTTGTCAGGGGAGGAACTTGGAGTGATGAATGGGCAAGTTCACAATTTTAGACTTGGAATCTGTGACCCGGAGGGTTACTTCAAAATCCCAGAGGAGTGCAAGGAGGTACAAAGACATGCAACTTTTGCTGTCGTTCAAACTATTGGTACATGCATATGAAATGAAATTAATTACGGTAAACCGATCTTATTCAATGTGTTCACGATCCAAGAATTACCTTGATTTGCTGGCGCTTATTGTATTCTATACACTCCAAAATAAAGTTTAATTGCGGCTGCTCTTGATTCCGATTCACATGAAATGATTTCTTTTTAACGGGGACAACTACTTCGTATACAGTCAGATTTTTCAGGGCTCTGTCATTTTTCCCAAACGTTTCTTACAATTCGAGTTAGATTTAAATAGCAATAAAACCTATTTGCTGATCTAAACTTGTCATTTGGTCTCTCTCTTCACACCATTCTTCTGTAGGTGGGAGTCTCGAAAGAGCTTTCCAAGAATATGCAGAAGATGCGTCGGTTAAGCCTGATGTAATGCGTTGCCTTCCGCCTCACTGAATAAACAATCCAAGCTGTTGTCTTGACGTCAAGTATGGGTTAAACGTCCTTTTTGTTGTGGGCTTAAATTGGATTGTTATTTACTCTTACCAACTTACATAACTGATATATGATCCTGGTAGTGCACGCACCGTATTATTTAGAAAGCAGTTTTAAATTTGATGCACGTTTCTCTATTTTTTGTGAAGTTTATGCATTTTAAAGACTAACAACACTTCATCCCTTGCTATAAAACTTTATCCACCATATCTTTGATTTAACATTAATCATAAAAGATGCCTTAATCTATAAGACCTGAAGACTTAGTTGATGGATAAGAGCATCAAACACCTGTATTTGTAGCTTGAACAAACACTTATTTTACATTACAGTTATTAGAAACATGTTAGGTAATCTTTATCCGAAACCAATTACGAGTAAATGTACATGTATTTAGATGAACAATAAAATCATTGCAACTGAATCCATTCAGCGTACATTATACCCAGACTCTTTAATTCATGAAACTCAATACACATTCTTATCTGTTTATTGACACAACTTTAATCATTTATTAAACTTATTTGCCAGATACCCAATTAGTTTGGGAAAGCTGGCATCAGAAATACAGGCTAACAGGAGGTCCAGGTCCCAATGCCATGTAGGCCTACATCAATTTGCATTTGGTACCCAGGCCAATCATCTCAGTGGACACCCAGGTCCGATGTACATTGATTTCCGTTTGGCACCCAGGCCATCATTAACTCAATACATGGACACCCAGGCTCAGGAGCATCCATTCTGAGGTACAGCCATGGTTTGCTATGGAACATACAGCACACTCAACCCCCATGAGTACATAAGAGGGGGTGGCTGACCCCTTAAAAACAATACAAACTTTTAAATACCAATATCCATCTGAGAAACATTATCCAATGTTAACAGTAACCATAATAATCATGATACATGTCAAATCATGTATGCATTGGGAGCTAGATGGCTGTCTCTGAATCCTGTTAGAAAACACCGATTCTTAATGTAACCAGCAAGACAAAGCAGGAGCTGGGGTGGTGGCGGGTAAGTTGAACCACCTTGCATATATCTCTGTGCCCCGATGATGATTTAGTCGATTAGATTCCAGTGCCGAGAGCGAGGGTGCATCCAAAACATTGGACATTGCGGGAGCGTGTGCGGTGATCAGCGTGGCACTCTTCCTGTTTACCAGTAAAATCAGCATGGACATCAGTTGATCATTGAGGCCCTCTGGAATGCTGGCGATCTTATTTATGAGGTGCTAGCTGGTCAGGGTGGGGTGGAGCAGGTTTTTAGGACACCTTATCCAGCCCCGTCCTCAGGCTACGGAGACGAGCAGAGCGATCCTAAATAGGGCTGCTCGGTCGCTCAGGGGGTTGGCGGATTCCATGGCTGCCCTGATCCAGCGAAGAACGACCCTATGGCCTGAGCCACCTGCGTGCAGGTTCACGGCTGCAGCTTGGGTGGATCCTCACCTGCTGGTTTGCCAGTTCCCCGTCGCCACAGGACTTTGGAGTACAATAAATTCAGAAGCATGACTTGCAATGGACTTGGATTAAAGTGAGGGAGGGCTGCGCAGGACACAAACCACACTCTCTCGTTCATAACCTTCTGAACTAGTGGCAAGGCGCGGCCGAGACGGCTTGGGAAGGTCCAGGATGCAGCGAGATGGCCAGGGCGACCTATGTGTCTCACCATGCTCTGTGGTGCGTCCCACGGCCTCGATGCTGGGTGGTACCTTTCTGTCCCTTGAACCATGGCTGAAGGGGCCGTGGTTACTTGCTTGAATAATACAGGTAGTTTCTTGAATCGATAAGACCTGATATTATGGCAAGTTAGGATGACTAAGTGGATCAGAGTACCAAAAACGTGCACTTTGTGGCTTGAACACTTATCTTATCAGTTATAAAGTCACGTGTTAAGTATTTTTTTTATCGCAAACCACTTGTTAATATTACGAGTACATATATTAAGAAGAAGTATAAAACCATTGCAACCGAATTTCATTCAGCGCACAATATCAGACAATCACATGCTAAGGTCAACCTTTCTTAAGCAATTTGAATGTAAAAAATTGGCAAAACTTTTTTTTCAAAGTTTGTAAATTTGAGTACGGCCGGGGGTCCCAGAGATCTTACTGTGTCCTTGAAATGCCTGGACACTTTGTTGTCCTGTAATACTGCGACAATAATATTGACAGGTGATATCATTATTTAAGCAGTGGTGTATCCGGGGAGGGGGAAACTTGCCCCCCCCCGACAGATTTTTGAGTGAGGCTTTTGAATTTTTCTCCCCAAATCATGTTGAATAAGCCCAAAGTCTCAATTCGCTTTTGATTTTGCCCCCTCCCCCAACCCCAAAAGCTACATACGCCTCTAGGTTTAAGCCTGGGAGACTTTTATTTGATGGGACTGAAGATTTGATAAGCGGTCGACCATTTTGAAGTGTTTTCTACTTCCTTATTTCATTACAAAAGAAATGGTTTCCATGATGGTATTGGTATAGGCTGTTGGGGATGGTATTACGAGTGGACACGCCCCTTCTTTTTGACTAAAATCTGGTAGCTCTGATGTGCAACTGAGACCCTATGCCGTGTAGTATGTGTATCGAGTACCCATTTAGTGGTAAAGTTCGAACACAACATTTTAGTAGTAAGCCTACACCTTAAATGAATCAGTCGAAAAGGGCTGGAGTTTGTTCGTTAAGTCTGTGATCAGCACAGAGGATTTACTCTGATATGGCCTCGAAAAAGATAAAGTTGCAGAGTGGGTACGGTACTGTTAATCCAACAGCATTATTTTGTGAAGTCTCACAATGGGAAATTTAAATAGTGAAAAACTTGCACTGCCAAAGTTGAAGGCATACATCGGAAAATTATGAGAATGCATTTTTCATTTTTTTTAAATCAAGAAAAGAAGCAAAAGGAAAACTAACAACAAAGTAATCAATTTCAATCAGTTATAATTATTATCGATTTTCTAATAGGAATAATGTGGTTGCCTATTAAACACTGGAACGAGACTGGTAATGTTTGCACGATGCAGAATAAAGTGTATTCTGATCAAAACGCCACAGCTGTTGCAAAAATTGAACTGTTCAGGATCGTCGATATAGGACGAACATATGTGTCGTTACAAGTCAGACTTGACTTATCCTTTGTACTAATACTCGCACACAGGATGCATTGACGGGACTTGATTTCAGCATTTAGGGCGATGCAGTATAAACTTTCGTTGCTCGTTCAGGGTCACAAATTTCATTCAAGTCGATTTCGCTTTGCGTATGGCCAGCAAGTTTCTTTCACAGGTATTTTAATTTGGATAGGAAAGTAAACTTGAAGATTGTGAACGTGCAGCTGCAAGTACTGGGCAACTCGACAGTTACACCAGTACCCCTATAGATAGTATTGGCCACATACATTCGCGTCATTACACCCTTCATGAGTCATAAGGAGTGGGTACGTGCAGCTCCGATATTTGTGGTTTGAACTTAAGTGAATTACTGCCTCTTCTAAACGCAGTTAGAAGACGCCTTTTCGACAGCTTTTGAATCACAACCTCTTGAGGCCTCAAAGATGTCATTTAGTTCACTAGCCTGTTTATTGATGGTTGTGATTGCTGGGGCGCAAGCCAATGTTGCGCAGGGCTTGCCATTCCGTGGTGTGTACAATCCTTTTTCACACCATGCCGACGAGCCCCAACCATGCAGCATACCACGTTACTTCACTTACCTGCAAGGTAAGCACGCCAGGTTCGACTCTTTATCATAGGCTTGAAATGCAAGACTCGGCATTTACCGCGTCACTGAATTATGAAAATTCTTTTAATTTGATTGGGGTAAATTTGGCAGGTTTTCTCTTGTTAATATTGCGGTTATTTAAAAAACTGGAAAGCTAAAAAATTCCCTCCAGTATTTTGGTACCAAGAACTTAATCTATGCAGATTAAAAATTGATTTGTTCCTTTGCAAACTAATTCACAATATAGGTATACAGTGAAATTATTGAAGGAGCACATATTTTCTTTTCAGGAAGTGACTTTCATGGAATCAATTTAGTTACAAAATTGTCCTCACTACTGCATCGTAAAACACATGTACAGAGCAAATGCCCAGGGTGACTATTGTTCCCCAGATCTAAGGGCAAGTAGATTTCAAAATGCGAAAAAGGCAAAACAGAAATAGGTGCAATCGAAATATGATATCGTATTTACATTTTTCCACGAGGCTATTTTTTTTGCGGCGGACAAGTTTGTTAACAATTCGTTTACAATCAAGGTCAAGTTAAGGGAATGATTTTCCTTCCTGCAAGTCCCAATATATTTTTTAATACCTTGATCTCGAACGGTTGGAAGGTACGATTAGTTCCAATGGCTCTGTTTTTTTCTCTTTTTACTCACGCAGAGGACTTCGTGACCACTGTAGAGGAAGGCCGACTGAAAGTTGAGGAAGAAAGCTGGGAGGGAGCCTACGATACTATTGCTCAGAAATACTCCGCCAAGAAAGAAGAACGCTTCTTCAACGGAACAGATGATTACTCCAAAATAATTTTTGATGAAGGAAAGGTCAGTGTCTTTCAGTTTTCTTTTTTTAATTCAAGTGAAACTCTTTTGATGACAACAATGAAATGTCATCATGTTAGAAAAAGGGAAAAATCTTTAATTAGCGTAAAGACATGAACCCTGCAGAAAGATTTTTTTCTTTTATTGATCTTAAAAGAGCCGCCTCTCCAAAAATTGTTTCTTTGATTTCGGCCCAACATAGCGTTTTTGGCGTCGATCCTTTGGGCGTTTTTCCCATTAATGTTTTATAATCATTTGATACTCAATTTACATTTCATTAAAATCGGATTGCTGCTCTCTTAAAATGCTCATTTTCCCAGGTAGGTCAAGGTTTCCCCTAAATGTTAACTTGGTTACTGTAACTCATAACGAATGTTACTGCTTGCGTGACAAATTTAAAAAAGACTGGGTATCGATAGGGTGAGATCTAGAGATACGAATTTCGCGCCGAGCTGTGAGCTGTCTGAGGAAGACTCCAATATTATCACCGAGCCCGATGACTTGCCACATCCATAAGCCTTTTGTCCTCTTTTGTCACTATTTTATTGGATATCGTTCAGAACTGTAATTTAATTCAAACTTTGCCTAGACAGTTCCACGTCACTTTGTTTCATTACGGAGGCACGAATAAAAATAAATTTAGAATGCATGCCTGAAAATGTAAAGTCACATTACAATTAATAAATGGGTTGTGTTGAGAATCCCACTCTTTCGGCTGGCTGACAGACGCCAAAGAGAAGAAAACATAAAATTCTGTTCTTTTGGCGTGCGGCTGACACTATTCGGTTTCGATTCTGCCCAGGGTGTGGAGTATATCATCGAAAAGAGAGGGGAGGAAACGGTGTGTCTGGTACTTGACATCGAGGGGCAGAAGTTCCCAGATACTTATACTTTTCCGAGTATGTATGAGTCTGTGTATGCTGTAGTCTTCACTCCTCAAAATGCCAAACCTATGGTGTTGGTCAGGGGCCTCTTCATTCACATTAAGCAACACCAGCCAGGCCAAAAGCACTAAGGGTGCTAATAACGCCTCTTGAACAGTACTGTGCAGCATAAAGGGTTGAACTGAGCTCAAATCATTTCCATGACAGTTTGAACGGAGGCGCTACCACGTAATGCATGTCTTGATGTACAGAAGGGTAGATGCGCATCATTAAACGAACGCACAGTTAAATTTGTCTCAATTTAAAGCTTTGATAGCACAAGTTTACTTCTTACAATTAACTGTAACATTACCAGTAAAGGCCGATTCATACTTCGCGCGAAAGCCACGTCAGATTACATTGTGATGTCAGATTAAATAGTCGCGCTATGAATTTGCAAAAAGTTGAACATTTTTCAACTCGAGCGAAATTCCGCCGTAAATCTTTCATGACATCAAATTAAAAAGTCTACCATTTAAAGGAACTGAATTGAGGACGAACAATTTATTTCAATTTCATTCGCATTATACAACCCATAACGTTCGCAATCCCCGTGCACTCAGGCTATTTCCTTGTTCGATTCTTGTTCATGCCGCAGAGAATGCCAAGTTTGTTGGTGAAGCAACGTTGGGCGACCGTGATCTCGTTGTGAACGTGTGGTACTACCCCAGCGAGGACAACACCAAACACACCGTAAAAACCTACACCCGTGAAGAATGCGTTCCAATCGGGCTGAGGCATCGCAAATTTGATCCCCAAACAGGTGCAATAAACAGAATACCGTAGAAGGCACCACATCTAAACATTTGTCTCATAAAAAAGAAAGCAATAAGCTTTTGTGAACTACAATCACTACAAAAGGGTGAACACATCAATGATACATTACGTACCCTTGTTCAATCAATGTTTCCCCTTTTAAAAACAGTACAGTGGCAAAACTGATTGCATGACATTCAAGTCAAGTGGTCTGCAATTGCTGATACACCTGGGCCCTCAGGGTGGTGATTTGTCTCTTTGAAAAACAAAATACAAGATAAACCAACATCTTCAACTATTATTCTGAGAAACTGGCAGTGGGAACATTCCAAAAGCAATTCAGACACAAAAATTCATTATTTGGACGTACAAGTTGTTTCTGGAGAGACTGACTGTGTTATATGTACCTAGGAGTGGAAATCGAGTTGAGGGAATCGAGTTTGTACGACATCAAGCTTGGGATTTGTGACGAAGAAAAATACTTCAAAGTACCGGATGAATGCAAAGAGGTATGTAATGCTGGGATCATTTTGCATTGATTTTTCAAAAATGTTAATGTTGATCGTAAGTATAATGCACACATGATCGACTATACATGTATGTTTTTTCATGTAGCAACATAATGTATATAAGGAAGTGCGCCTTATCAAAAAGAATGTTTTAACAGTTAAACTAATTGTGTCACTCAACAACACGCTCATTTAATTGTGTTTGTTTCTAGGGGCGCGCCTTGAAGGAACCAACACTAACCATGATGAAGATCCGAAACCATTTTAATTAGGTTTATTGGCCTTAACGTGTTATCAGAAACGACGCTAAGAGCGGATTCTGTCCTGGTTTAAATTAATCTTCCTGTTTTTAAGTGTATTAGGTAAGCACATGCATACTTTTGGACTGTCAATGTAGCAAATCACGACCCTGCAAAATAATTTTTCCCAGCACGATGTGTGGCAAAGGGGGACCCCCTACGCTATGCACAAGCTATATAACCAGGGCTATTATGCCTACTTCACCCCCCTGAAAATGTGAAAGGAATTCTAAAGATTCCGTAAACACAAAAGACGACACAATGGGGGGGGGTAGTGGAGCACCCTTTTGCCAGATGTCGAGCATCAAATGAAAATAACTATGCTCCGTAATATTGGACGAAGCGGTCAAACACATGTTTTTTGTAACATAGCGTATGCCATAAGGAATACTGCAGAACCTAGCCAGCATCGTGTATTCGAACAAAAGAAAAGCAGAGCAGCGTTCCAAAGCTGACTGTTTTAAGAATTAATGATAAATTTACGTTCCCTGTAGCGCATGTATAGGCAATTCAGACTTCTTGTATTTTTGAGCTTAAGATACTCATAAATAAGCGCATATTTGCAATTTTTATATGCACGATTCATCATGAGACTACCACTTTAAACAATAGAAAGATTTCAGAGGGATAAACATTAGCCTGCATGAATTTTTCAAAGGTTTATTTTTGATGATACCCGAAACTGTGTTTTGTCTTCCAGTGTAATGTATATCCAACCTCCGTTTTGTTAAATCCGTAATTATATTGTGTACAAATGAAACAGGTTTGTACGGTCGGAAAAATTACTATAATTGTATTCATGTGAAATTTAATCTTAAAATGTCTTCAATCTAACGATTTGTGTTGCACGACTTCAAACCCCCTAACCGTCAGAGTCCAAGGAACTCGTTTTTCTCACGGTAAGCGCAACTGCCATTAATTCACTGCAAAGTATGGAATTTTTGAAAATTCGCTCAATTGCTTCTCAGTGATGGTGATGACTTTATAACGATACTGTACAACAATTGTGTAAATGACTTGGCTGTTATTCAAGTTCTTACATGTCCTACCCTCCTTTAATATTTAGTTTAGTCAAAGTTAACATAAATCAATACGTTTAATCGGCACAACCTCACAAATAGTGTTTGTCTTGCGTTTATGATAACAAGGCTGTCTCTTCAAATGATATACATGTATATCAAAGGTATACTTGAAATGTCAAACATATTCTTACTTTCCATATGTAGTTTTTTAATTCCATAGTTAGACCCTGCTTTTACTCAAGATGTTCCATGAAGTTTAATAAAGTAGCTCACTATTTTAGCAAGGCACAAGTGTACTGTTTACCTGTAATGATTTCATTTTGAGCTTCGAGGATGCAGTCATACGGCGGACTGACATGGTAGAGTTTATATCACATTATACTTTTAAAAATGCGTTCCCATTCCACTAAATACCGTACTGCGGAGAGAAAAATATTCGGATGCCAGTTCTTTCACCAGCTTATGATTATTGGGTAGGGCTTATTGTGGTCGAGCAGCGCAATCCAGAACTTCCTTTAGCACGTTCTCCTCCTCAGCGCACCTTGCTTAATCGATGGATTGAATAGCCATTGTCCCAGTACGAATTTCTTGTGCTGGAGGGCAACTCAACCATTCACTGCTACCGAAGCTCAGACGGGATAGCCGTTAGCAAATACGGGCACCTTTTCAATGGGTCAGACTAAGTTTATACAAAGCACCCCAGATCTGGGACCATGGCTGTCTGGAATAACAATCCGTAAAAACAGCTCGCTGAAACAAGAATCATGTGTCTGTTTTCCAAGAAAATGAATTTTATTCTTACATGTAAAATACGTCGAGTAACTCAACATTGACTGCCCGGAACGATAATAATAGTGGTTCGATTCAGCGATCTCTGGGTGGCTTCCCTAGCATGAAAATGACAACTTCAAAACAATTTCACAATAAAAAAGGAAAAAGGGTTCACATACATTCTTTAGTTTAAGAGATAATGTATTCATCTTCTAAATTTTGCATTCCTCCAGAACTGAAAATAAGGCGCTGAAAACGAAGTTATATTTTTTTTCAACCCAACAGTTTTCCTGTAAAGAATCGTCCTTGTACAATTTCTGTATTTCTCTGTCCTTTGGTGTAGGTCTCAAACCAGAAGGTCCCTTACTGAGAGCAAACTAAAGGAATTAGCGTACAATTTAGTGTAAATGTCAAATTTTCTGTTTCAGTCAGTTTAATAAGGTACATTATTTCATTGTTGAGCTTTAATGTATTAATCTAGAAGGTTTCAACAACAGCTTTTAGTAGCTGATCTACGCTTCGAAATCACATAAATGCTTCGTACTGCATCTCCAGCAGTTGACGGCGTTTCGAAATTTTCTCCAAGAAAGGCGTCATAATGTCCTGTTTGATAGAGGAAGAATAAGAGAAAAAAAGATGAACAAAAGGTAGGGAAGAAGAAAAGGGGAGTGAATTAAAGGGCATCACTGAAGTTTTAAAGGCTGTGATACCGATTAAGATGACAAGAAAGGCAAAAGGTGACCTTTCACTGTTATGACTACTTTAAAGTGGACCACTTCCCAGTTGGAGAGCTTGCTCTCGCCATTTTACTTTGCAGTCTTTATTTGGCAATATTTACGGGCATGAAAACAAATTATAGAGCCACTGTCACATTTGAGTTTTCTTCAGTCTATATTTCTTTCGTTTACCTGTGGACATTCATCAGGAATGTGGAAAAACTTGTCTCGGTCACAGATTCCAAGTTCAATGTCAGCATAGGCGATGGTTCCAGCATTTGCTTCTGCAAAGTGACAACATCAACACTAATTGTAATCGACAAAATATTACAACAAAACTCGATTGATGCCTACCTCAGATATGCATGCAGTAGTACAAGCCAACCTGGAAATAAAGGAGAGATTCAAATGGAAGAGATTTGACGCTTGAAGATAAAGACTCGAGTTTACTTGTACTGACCTGGCGGGTCCGTGTTGAAGTTCATGAGTACAAAGTTAACGGTGATGGGAACACAGTAGTCTGCGGCTAACAAGTACGTCCTGTTAGCGACGTAACCGCCTTGGGCGAAGTTGAGTTCCCACGTGTTGCCGGAGAGGGCGTCGTCACCAAGGGTAACGTTACCCTGGTACACAGCCTTTTCTATCTCGATGAAAAAAAATAAATGAATGAAAATTACTAATATATCTACAAAACTATTCCACTTCTGAAAATGCGACACTTAATCACTATACGGCTGAAGAAAAGGGCCATATTTGTGGACATGACCTTCCTAAAGTAGAAGTTCTAAACATTTACCAGGGACGCAGTTTTTTTGAAACTGAAATGGAATCCGCCCCCTTCGACATCTTTGCTGGCCTTGATTGTCCTCGATGTAGTAAGCTTCTCCCTATGAGGTTGAATAGAATAGATGAAGCAGTAAGTAAATTGAGAACATCGAAATGACTGCATAGACGTCAAGCCTGTCCTCCTCCCATTACCGCCACAGTAACCTGGTAATAAGCCTTTTGCGAGTTACATTTCAATAAAATCTGGTACACTGACTTCTTTCAATTCACGTCAACATAACAATTGAGTTCTCCATGCTGAAGAAACTGTTGCTATACCTCGTGATCTGGGCAAGGTTTTGCTCGGTTACGTACCGTAAGAGACGTCTTGAATCTGTACACTATGTCAATGGATAAGAAGGGCGCAAAGGAATCAGTCAATTTCAGAGATGGTGGTCACTAGGAAGAAGCTTGCCCCAAATCACGACGCATAGCAACAGCGTCTTTAGCCTGGGAATTTGAATCATGTTTATGTGCAATCAGATAACTCGGGGTAGAACATTTCATATTTACACCAAAGTTTTGCATTGCAACAATTTGAACCAAAGTCTAATTACAAGTTGCAGTCCTCAAAAAGGCGATTCTGTTTTTTTTTTTTTTTTAGTATAGAGAGGTCACCTTGTGGTCAGTACAAGCCATGTCAAGATTGTCCCGGCTTAAGATTACTTCACGTTAGGGGTGGTTCACTTTGTAATTTGGAAAAGTAATTACAATTATTCATGCACAAACGACTGCTGTTAGAGATTTGAATAACGGCCACTCAAGAGTGTGATTTTGTTTACATGGAAACGCATGGCCATATCGTTCACCATTCATTCATGCATACTAAATTTTATACTTAAAAATCAAAATGACCGGTGCATTCAGAGATTTTACTGAATGCTGTGCACAAAGAATTGCAGTATACATGTGTAGCTTTAAAAAAATAAGACGACTGATTTTAGTGCAATATTGGGGATTTTAATTACAATGTTGGGTTCGGTTCATCGGTGCCGAAGATTGTTGAGATGTCTCTATATATAAAATGCAAATTGCTCATCAACAATTTCTTCTGCAGTCTTTTAAAAAGCTAGAAAAATGAAGACAGTCCTCTGAAAGCGGTATACGTAGTTGTAATGAAAGTTTTTATGAAACTTACACGATTGTAGAACTCCACGAGTCGGTCGACTCGCTGGGTACCATTAGCAAAAGTCTCAGTGAAGATAAAGGCCTTGCAGCTGAATGTCTTATCGTAAGCAAACTCGGCATTGGTTGTCTCAAGGACCACCGTCCCGCCTTCCAGCTCTTCAGTCTGTTGGAGTTCTGTGGGGTTGCGGTAAACGAAGAAGAGAACATTGCTCGTGATGCAGGGTTAAACTGTTGACAAAGTTTGAGTTCAGGAATGAAAGTTTTAATTTCTATAGATTTTATGAAGAAAAGGCGACTGTTCTTCAGCTGAAAAAATCCACGTATTACAGAATGCTATAAAGGCACATAGCATTATAGCACAGCAAATGGGAGCCGAAGGGTACCATTACGTCAGGAGTGTTTTCCTGATGGTTCTACTATTTTCGATTTGTTATAATACACTTCCCAACCCGTAGTAAATGCGAATCAGTATGGAGGCTACATGTACATACATGGTGTATATGAAACTGGATTGACACCAGACAGTGATTTCTTTTTCGAAATAAAAAAACAATCAATGTTAATTTTGATGTCAACACATAGAGGTAAATCTATTTCGTCTGTTTTGACTGCAAAAGGAAATAACAACATTGCAAGAGAGTAAAATGCTTATTGCTTCATTCAAAAGTACGATCAGCCGGCTTCATCTCTACTCAAAAGTATAACATGTTTTGGAGGGGCCCCGGACACGTGCAAATTTATAACCATATCGGAAACACTGGTAACTTTCCTGACTTCTTTTGCGTGTTTTGCGTCAAATAACTGTTCAGCCAAAACGTTGTCTTAAATCCATTAAACGTTGAGAATTAAAAAAACCCAAAACGTTCCAACGTTGGTATCAACCGAAATCTGGCGATCTACACGCCCGCTTGGCACACAAGGAGTGGAAATGTGATATTGGATTTCAACACGTTAATAAAATGAACAAATGTTTGTATGCATAGGCTTTGAGAACACAGGTAACTTGTGATTGTGTATAGAAGTTTTGAAAACACAGGTACATGTAAACAATCGCCTTATAGAAATGACGTGTGTGACAAAATGTGGAAAGCTACTTCCAAAGTTTGCATTTACTGAAGGGTAGGCCTATTTCCAAATATATATATGCATTCATTCTGATGTGGAGTTTACAGTCTAACAAATATCTGTTGTAGACTACAGGCTCACCGAACTTTCCGGTCATCTGATTAATCCAGCAACATGGTTGAGGTTCTTCGGCCCAAATTTCGACCACCAAAAGGAGACAGACCACTGCCAGTACCACGCGACACGCCATAGCTAGCATTGCTTGATACAACGGACTACAGACGCAAGCTTCAGTCTGCATGCACGCACGACCGCCGAGAACAGGTGGACACGGCTGTCCCCGATGCTAACGACACATTTTCCCCTAGCGTTAAGTTTGAGGAGGATTGCTTGTAAAAATACCCAGGGTAGTTATACAGCAGAAAGCAGAATCTGAAGTTGAAAAACCTTCGGAAATTTGGCTTCTCAATAGAACCAGTCATGCAGATCATACATCCTTTCAGCTACGCCAGAGATCTATCTACGGGGAAAGCCTGTACCATGCCATGCCGTATTGTAAACCACCAACACGATTTGCCTTGTTATCCTTGAACACTGAATAACTATGCATGTTAAATAAGGAACATGTAAAATCCACTTTTCATGTCAGAAAATAGATGATGTATTATTGGGATAAGGAACTGTCGCGATTCCAATTTATTTACGTTGGGAATTCACGCAATTTATATTGCCACAGTGGTATTCCATAAGGCTATTGTAATAACGACAATGACGCGCTCTACAATCTAATGAAGCTGATCAAACCGAACAATGTACGGTACTACATATAAAAAACCAATGTCACAAACAAGTGTCACCTGGCTTTGAAAAATGGATGATTGTCGTGTCTTTTCATAATTGAGGGGCAGGGAACATTAGTTATTTCTTGACAGATTACTCGTCAAATTTGGCGTTATTCTCCGTGTTAAGTGGGCCTATATTTCCATGCTAAGGCCTTCCTGTGGTCACTGACAATTCACTTGCACGTCACCACTCCGATGCCGAAACTTACTCCAACTCGGGCCCTAAGTACAACCTTGGTGCGACTCTCCGTGTTCATTCCCAACAAAGAGCTCCCTATATTTTTTCTTTACAGTCCTGAAAAAACGGATTAAAAACAGTTTGACGACCTTCATGAAATTCCTGGGTTGAAAAGAATCTTTTCCTGTCTGTTTCCCAATAGCGTAGTCAAAGCTCAGCTAAGTTGAGCTAACAATGCATCAGGACCAGCTTGACTGCACCTATTCGTCGCGAAAGCTCGTCTGCCTCGGTGTTGGAATTCACTTCACCGCATTCTGATTGCAGGATGCCCCTGACAAGCGGTTACTAGGGGCCTGTTTTTAATAAATAGAACTAGCAAAGAGGTTGCTTACACTACAGAGAGAATGAGCATTACTCAGGAACTGGAAATTATTCTTTAATGAAAAATGGGCCATTGAAGGACGACATCACGCGGCCCCCCCAAAAATTCCATGAGTAGTCTATCAGAACCGTCTCGAAAAGATGCTATGCATGTGCATAGCATCTTGGTGTTGTTTTGAAAACACATTGTTACCTTCGGATCTTTTTTACATGTCAAAAAGCCATAAGACTCCGCTAACTTGGACAGAAATACACGCAAATATGCCATTGTTATAAATGTGCAATTGATTGATTTGATTGAAATGTGCAAAATGTGATTCAAAGGATGGTGGCCATCTTGCATCGCAATTCAGATCCTGCCACGATATAAAACCCTAGTTCGATTTCCAAACATCATAATGTGTAATAATGAGCCATTAAAATGTGTAATGATACCCAAAAATCTAGCTAATGGACATCGGCAGAAAGCCGAAACATGTTCTTGGCCATGCTCGCGTAAATAAGTTAGGTTAACTTCGGAATAAACTAATAAATCTGAAAAAAGAATGGGGAAAGGAGTATCAAGTTCCATAGTAACTAAACTAGTCGATACTGGCTAAATATATCAATAACAGCGGCGGATTTTTTCCAGGGCAGGTTTTTTTTTAATGTCTCATTTTTTGCGTCCAAGCGGAAATGATGCTGAAACATGAAATGACTGTTAACAGTGGTATTGGTGCACTTACTATGAATTAGTTCTCTTGGTAATTTTCCCACATTTTATTTATTTTTTTGGAGGGGGTGGGTGGTTAGACCCTCGGACCTGCGCGTGGACAGAGTGCTCACGTTGAGGGCATCAAGAATCGATTCCGTGGATGGACAGCAACGAATCTGACCCCGAATTTCCTTTCAAGTCATCTTTCAACTTAGCGGTAGTGTAGATTCCTCTTTGCATCCAGGTCAAGGTTTCAGTGGCTAGGGAGAGCCTACAATATAACAATAAAAAAGACCTTCACTGGCTCACGTTTCAGCCAGTGCCTGAAACACGATAGCGCATCCCCACAAGTACATAGTATCAGAAACTTACTTCATTTGACTGGTGCAGGTTGACTAGATTAAGACAAATAGATTTGTTATCAGGATGCATACATTTGTGGCCGTAGGGTTCATACTTGTAACTTTAGCAGCCGCTAAGGTTCAGGTACCGCCAGATGTTGCTGGTTTTTACGGGGACCTGCGGGAGCAGGAGCCGAAACCATGCTGCGCACCGAGTTACTTCACGTTTAAGTCGAGTAAGTTCCCTTTCGAGTACGTTTTACGTAACGCTTTCCGTTGCGGCGTAGCTGCAGCCCAACATACAGCTCCACTATGCAGTAGTGCTCTATTTGGGAGACAAAATTCATCGCTTTGCATGATTGCAGTAAATGAAAACTCTGGTTAACGCAGTTGCAGGTTAGAAAGGAATGTCGACTTTGGTTTCATCCAAATTCATTAATTTTTAGAATATACGCGTACACGTAGTTGGTGACTTGCAAAAGGGGCAACAAGGGTTCGGGTTAGATTCAGCACTAGTCTTTTGTCGGATTTGGATCGGATTCGGAAGTTCGCCTAGAGCCATCGGATCGGACTGACCATCTCAAATTCGATCAGACCCACAACCAGTTTTCAATTACGAAGAGCTTATGATGAACATCTACAGCAACATTTCATTGTACATGCAATCAAAATAATTATAAAGTCTATATCGATGTGACCCGTCTTAACAATAAATTATTAGGCCCACAGGAGAAGAAAGGGACTATAAAAGTCGTGCATTGTTTTTCTGTAAAACACAATGGACCTTCCCGACACTTAGACTAAAAACTGATGGCATGAGGACATTAAATTTCAATTATTGTCCTTGTCATTTTTCAATTAATTCTTCCACGTGGAAAAAAGATTTAAAACTCTAGGCCTAATTAATCATGCTCCTGTTTGTTATTGCAACGACCTTCAAAGTTTCGCTAAACAGTTTTGAATATGCCAGGTCATATTGCGTGTTCTGTCTCATAAACCATCGCAGCTCACTTCCTGACGTACTCACTGGGGGAAGCGGGACTCATTGTTGAGATGCAGCAAGCCACTGGGGCATACGACAGGATCGCTGAGAAGATTGCCAGCCGCATCCACCTAGGCTTCTTCAACGGGACCGAGGAGAGCTACCATACCATCGACGACTACCACTCAGTACGTGCCGATCAAGTATCCAATTTACAAGGGGAGAGGCAATTTGAAGGGTGGGGGAAATCTGAGGATTTCTGTTGGGGCGTTTCAAGCACTGGGCTAAGGTTGGGGTTTTTTACACGCTTTGGGGAGGAAGGCAAATAAAGTAGTTCTAGTAGTTCTTTTTCAGAAATGTATTTTTAAATGACTCTTTAGAGGGAAGAGGTATTGTCTTGTTACCCAACCCATATAGAGCCGCCGGTCTTTGCACCCACAGAACTGTCAAGCTTTAGGGAAAACAGACTTGGGAAAAGCCGAGTCGCTCAGCTAGTGAAGCCATACCATGGTATTCCAAAGTTCAACGGTCCTACTTGCGAGAAATTGTTTTAAAATTTAACATTCATTTAACATGTCATTAACATAAAGTTAATGAGACCCGAGGTGACCCCTCGTTGATGTTTGGGCCACGAGATGTGGTCCAACAGAGAAGGGCAAGAAAGCTTTAGATTCAACACATTTTCATTCCTATTTCTAGTATTTCCATAAACCTTTCTTCACTTTGGAACTCCAAGTCTACCAAGCATTTTCTCGGTTAGCGGTCAAATGTTTTTCGTTGTTTTATGCAGGGGGTATCATACTCCATTACAAGGATTGGAGGAGAATTAATCTGCAGGTCGAATGAATTGGAGGGCGAGTTTCCCGAGGACTGTATACCGGGTGAGGGAAATTTTCAAACTGTTCATTTTGTCTTTCACTTTGTAGCTCAGTGAAAATGCTGCAATAATTACTTCCCTAAAATTTGATTTATTTCTGACAAAAGCTTTTGGTTTACTGTTAACAGACAAAAGCCAAATTCGTATTTATAACTTCGATTTTGTCTCTCATCTAGACGATGCCACCTACGTTGGGTCATCTAGTCTGGGTGATCGTGCCGTGGAGGTTGACTCATGGTACATGTCGAAGACACATCCCGGGCAGGACGTGCACCGCGTGCGCACTGTGCAGAAAGAAGAATGTGTGCCGATATATTCGACTGGACGATACGTCAGTCCGGACACTGGTCAGCAGGAACATGATCGAACATATCATTAACCATATTAAAGCGTCTGGAATCCTTCGGTAGTTCCCACTGTCCTCACGCTCCTTACCGAAGCTCTAGTTTAATATCAGATTCCCTGTTTCCTTGCGGCATTGTCTTTATCCGAGACCCACGAATCATTTTCAAACGTCTACTTCACTGGAACCAAATGAAAATAACATTTGGCGCAAAATAGAATTGCATGGAGCCTTAATGAAACTAATGCTTGAAGCCCAAAACCAAGGCAAAGCCGAGTTTTCAAAAAACACCCATGTTTGGCAGCCCTGAAAATCATACACCCAATATAGAAGAATTAAAGGCATACTATTAACGAAACAAAGCAAAAGAAAAAAATACCCAATAACGAGTCACATCAAACAAACATACAAACCCTAATAACGCAGTCTTAAGTTTCCTTAATTGTGATCATCATGTAAACCTGGTCATTAAATAGAACGAGGGTGAGCCTTAGTTTGTTTGTTCTTTTAAGGGGATACCAAGTTTAATGACGTCTCTTGCTTTGTCCAGTGTGCTCAGTTTATAATAGAACTCTGCTCACTTTTGCAGGTGCAACTTTCCAAACTGAAAGCTCACATGTCACAGACTTTCATCTTGGAATCTGTGACGAGGACAAGCTGTTTCATGTCCCGGCTATCTGTTTCGAGGTAAGTTACCGTCGGCTAGCGCACGTGATGTTTTTTTAAATCAGCGGCAGATGTCCTCCCCCACATAAATCTGCGACACGGGAAAATATCCGGACAAATAAACATGGTGTATAGATTCCGGTTTATCATCTCCTCAAAATATTTACTGGGCGGAAATTACCAACAAAATTTGGGAATGTTATAGAGGATATTTCCATGCTAGTTCCAGCATTGGTACAGACGCACCCTTCCGCTTTTAGCTCACGGGTCCGTTGACACAGGCAAGCAATTGGCACTCAGCTTTTTAAAGACACATTTTCTAGGCAAGATATATCTTAGGCTATATGACGTCGAAAACGACAGCCGACGGCGTTCGTTATAACCGACAACGTTCGTTAGTGACACACCTGCGGAGGGGCTTCGTGGGCTTCAGTCCCTTAAGAGGTTGTCATTTTGTTCCGAAAAAAGAAACGAAGATACGCCTACATCTTAAACTCCTAGCTTTGACAGACGTACATTCTACATGTAATGTCAGTCCGGTGTGGCACAATGGCGGAGGGGGGGTGGTGTCTTGGGCATCATGAGCTTCCCTGGGAAGGGTAAATTTGGGTTCAAGACTCACCGTTAAATCCCAGGTGCTCTATAATGACGTTCGTTTAAAAAGCTAACACAACAATGAGGGAAAATCCTAATCGTTCACTCCCAAAAGCCAGTTATTTTGTGCATGTTTGATAAGAATTCTTAAATGCTAATTAGATGCGGTACTTTTGATGTCGACGAGTGGGTCATCTCTAAAGAATTTTTACAGGTTAGTAGATTTAATACTAGCGGAAAGACAAAAATCTTCCCCTATCTGTTGTTTCTCACTAGCGGGCCACTGATAATTCCAAGACTCCAAAGCGTTTGCGGAAAATCGTCAGACTGAGTCCAACTATGTCATACATCGGTTTGTAATGGATCGTAAGTTTAAACTTCGATGAGATGACTGAATGACTTACTATTTCTAGAAATAAAAATGAGATAAAACAGTGGAATTCCTACGAAATTTCCAGTTGTAGACATTGTAGACTTTCCTTGAAGCGACGATGCATAAATAAGTTTAGAAAGAAAAACACAAAACACTTGTTTCGTGTCTATACCTACAACTATGCAGACACGACAATGCAATATTCACATTTTTTTCAACAAAATCTGGTGCTACTATCACGTGACATTTGTGTCAGCTTTGTGGCAGCAGCCCCAGGAAATTATCGTTCTCGTTTAAAAAGTTTAGTTTGGCTTTTTCAAAACATTGTCAGGAAGGAAGTGGAGCAAACGAGGTCCTGAGATTCTGAAAGATTTAGAAATTAGGCAATTCAGTTTTCATTTTTTACAAAATTTTCATCTACTGCCGAGAAAATAATGATCTTTTTCTTAGAGACTCTACTACGAAAACAATAAACAAAGAGCGCTACACTGATACGTCTTCCTTGTGTGCTTGTTGTATGCATGCAATCATTGCAATGAGTTTGCCGTTAAAGGCTGACAGAAAACTTGGGTGTATTGAAAATATTTTAATGCCTTAAAGTGGATTTCTTTGTTGTTTTTCGACGAGAAACCTTTTACAAGAAATGGTGAGTCAAAACCACTCATATTTTGTGTCCTCTGCTGGTCCTTACAAATACCAATGGAAGATATTTGTGATTGGAGCAAAACACAGTGTGGATTGGAACATAATATTTTGGCCTTTAGCTATGCCGATGTCATAATTATGGTAGAAAGTGTTATGAGGGCCAGTTTATTTAACAGGCACAGTATTGGCACTGTGCCCAGGGCCTACGGAAAGTTTGGGACCCTACAGAACTTTGATAAGACTTGAAAGTAATGGGAGCGTGCCCCCAAAACGGAACGCCATTATGACTGCTCAGTGTCCTTCTCTATGTTTCAATTTCTCAAAAGCATCAAAAACTAGTTCACCACATCACCATGAAAAGCTGAAGGTTGCTGTGCTGTCTGGCACAGTAAAATAATCAGTCTCGGGCAGAATGGGGCCTATCTGGAATTTTTGCGCCTAAAGTCCTTGGAACCCTTAATTCAACCCTGAGTTTACAGTTGGAAAGTGGAGGGATTGCAAAGAATCAGCAAACAACCTGTGCACCAAAGGTGGGACGCATTCCATTCTAAAACCCTGCCAGTCATTTTCAAAGGAAAGGGGTTTATATCAACACAATGGTGCACGTTTGGGGAGTGCAATAAACCCCGATAACAAGAGATTTTTTAAGGGCTTTTTCGTTCTCCCAGACAGCCCGAAAGGATTAGAAAAGCATTGTCCGGGTGTTTTAGACATTATTGAGTGGACATTTTTTATTACTGAAAGTTGCACAAAGGGCCTGAAATTTCAGACCATGGTTGCGGTATTGTATTTTTTCAGCCCCTGGGAGCTAGTGATTGAAAGCCACCTGTAGGGAAAAAAGAGTAAAAGTTGGGCCAATTGTCTTCTAAAAATCACCTGATGGTCTGCCGGAACTAGTTTTGGGCGATTGAAAAGGGCCAGCTATTCACGAGAGACGGAATTGATATATCTGTACGAAAAATTGTAGTTCCACAAGAATAATTAGGTTCACTATTATGGGCGTAAATCCTGGGGGTGGGGAGTATATACCCCCCCACACACACTTTTTGAGGTAGGGGAATTTGGCTATTGAATCACCCCCACATTTTTTGTGACGAGTAAAAACATAAAAGTTGATTGTGAAGAATTTTCAGGATTTCCCAACGACTAAAATGTTTGCAAATCTTTAAAAAGGGAAAGCAATTTTAACAAGCCAGAAATATACCATTGTGACGTAAGATTCTACATGAATTTGATACACATTACAGATGCACATCTTTCATGATCATGAAAATCACTCCCTATATAGTGTATATGGTCCCCCCCCCCGCTTTTCAAATTTCCATTGCCGCACTAGTCATCCCCCCACCTTTCCCATATTTCCAACGCCACTGTTCAATATTCCTGTGTGGTTTAAATATTTGGGATGGGGCCTCGGGTCAACACATTACAGGCCCGAAATGAATAAAAGGAAAGGAAAAAGCAAGACCCTTTTCCTCGAAATAAAACGTAATTTCTGATGTTGTCGTCCCGTTAAGAAGCTCCGCTAAATGTGAAGGCATACAAAAATACACTGACGATTACTGTGCGAAGTTTTAAATCTTAAGTTTACAAAGTTCAACGAATTGACTGGCCAAACAATTGACGAGACCGTGTAAAGAGGGTTGGCCTACACATACTTAAATCCCATTTGGAGGTTAAATTCGTAATACAGTGGAAAGGGGGCTGAATGGATGGTGTAAAAAGCGCCCTCATGAGCGACATGTTGCAAAACATGCGCAACTGCACTCGCGACGAAAGGCACGGCAATAGACCCGTCCACTAATAAATTCTAATTTATGCGCGATGCGCACAAATGGCAAGACCAAGCAAGCATGAGCAGCTCATTGAAAATGTACAGTGGCAAATTTCAACGTCATTTTCTATCAGCTTTTGCACTTTTTTCACTCCAAAACCCTCTAAAATCATTGTAGCTACATGTATTACTTTCTGGTGTGAGAGGAAATTATGGACAACAAAATAAAACCTTGAAAAATTTCGTTCGTTCAAAGTGTGCGAGTACGAAGGAAATCTGTAGGGTTCCGATGTGGGTGAGCTGTAAAACACGTTTTGCGACACGTTAGTGTACCGTCTACTATTCTCGGTTGACATCGTAAGTAGTGAAACATCTCGCTAATTTCTTTCGACGAATGCCATCAAGGGAAGATCCGTGTGAAGTGACCGCTGTTTTCAATAACTCCCCCTTAAAGCCTTTTAAAGTCTGATTCACGGTACGACGTTTTAAAGTAGGAGCACCTTCATGTACAAGTCGTACTAGTGTGATTCCCTGTCGTAAGATTCCCTGACGACTCTTGATAATAGATCTTAGGTCAGGTATCACCCATGGATATAAATAGATATGATCAGGGGTCACAAGTTGAGAGCCCGAGTTTTTTCGATTTCATTACAGTGGTGCACCCTGCATGTGTGGGAATTATATATTCTGCATTTCGTTTGGTTGATTTCGGCTAGGGCGCCCTTCGATTTTAATGTAAAGTCAAATATTGTAGGATCAACAGCTGCCATTAGGATACGGGAGATTACGTTCAACAGCTAGCCTATTTACCTGGCTGGGAATTCCTCCAGGCTTGGTCACGTAGACGTTGGGTGGAATACCAGACCTTGATTCGAAGAGTAGTCAGAATCACTGGGTCTGGTATCCAGACAAAAGTGGTAGGCCTACATGGTACGAGCGGTGAATAGTTTCCTGCAGTATAAAGTTATTTAATAGGGCATGGTTGAAAAGGTCGAAAGTTGTGTTCTCTCTCGGCTCCGCTCGGGCCCCATGAGTGCAGTGAACTAATTTAAAAATTAAAGGAAAATTTTGCTGAGCTCATTTGCACAAAAGCGCCCCGCAGTGTCTTTTAAAAAAGGATATTGGTTGGTAGTAAAAATTCAGGGATTGTGGAAATATGGTCCCGGATCATCTTGAGTTGGGAGACTTCCATCAGGGCAATCTTGCTGAAATTCAATTTTTGTTTGAGAAATTCCGGTTATGTCGACTTGCGTATTATTTAGCCTTGAACATTTTTGATTTTACACAGTTTTCAACGTGGCTTGAGTTCGTTCTCTGCACCCATAGGTGTCTTGGCCGAATACGTGGCTCGATCACGGATTACGTATTGTGCGCCCTCTGACGACTCATTAGACCAGCGCGCTTTGTGCACCCCTATAAGTAAATTCCCATTGACACCAGTGATAAATGCCTATAATCCAAAATTATTTTTAAAATACTCTCACAGAGTGTCCAAGCTGGACCGAAAAAGATGTTGTTTGACATGCCCTCTTTCATTCTCCTTTTAATTTGTAGTGGGTTGACTAATGAATTTTGAAGGAAGGAAATTTCCCTGCCCGGAAAAGTAGCCATTTTGAAAATGCATACCTCTACAAAACAGCTGAATATACTGCCGCTTTTTTTGGACCCAGTTGCATCCAAATTGCTCAGAATTGGAAGCCCTAAGTGAAGGCCAGAGGTTCAGTGCCACAGTTCTTCAACTCCCTGACTCCATGGCGCTCAGGACTCTCTACATGTAACACAGAATATTTTGACGGTATAACTTTTATTAATGAGCTCGGCTGTGGCCTATTTACAGGGACGCACCCCGCTGCTTTGCACTAACTAGTCTAGTCCCCCTTTTTGACGACTCATAACATTCTGGTCAGGTAACACCAATGGCTAAATATAGTTCACGACGCAACATGTCGAGGGGTCAACAGGGACGCCCTGTGTAGGGGGCTTGGTCTGCGCATGATGTGGTGGGTAATATAAAATTGACGTCGTGGTCTTGGATTGAAGCCGTTTCGTATTTCATTTTCTCCTTTTATTTCATTTAGGGTATGGACATGAGAATAATGCTACGCAATACAAATGCACTAACACGGTTTTCAGCCAGACCCGCTGGATTGCCTCTGAAACTGAACATGTTCAGTAGTAGCAGGCGTTGGTCTTAATGCCAGGTTTATCACTTTGCTAAAGTTGCAGCGCATCATTCATCTTAAATACAAAACGAACCAATACAAGCTTCGATTTTAGCGTATTAATTCAAGAATTCCAGGATTCATCGCCGTTAATACATCCATTATGACTGTATACGTTGGTGTCAATGCTTACATTCACCCACTGATCGGTACCGTGGCGTGAACACGGCCAAAAATGTTCGACCATTAACGGCACCATCCGACGAGTTCGGAGTGTTTCGGATATTTTCGGGAAAACGGACCAATTTGTCGTTTTTTTGTCAGGATGACTTCATTGGGTGATACCGCACCAAAGAATCAAAATCGAATAGCTGGATTCATCGGTCTGAGAACCAGACTACGCATTGATGTCTTAGAAATCTTGTACAAGTAAACATACGCGTTACGTGTAGAATCCTCCCACACAGTAAATCTACTAGAGAACAACTACCCGAACAGCACTACACATGCAAATTTCCCATGCGTGTATAGCTATTCGCTGAAAAGACTTGATCACCCATGGTGCCCCTTGACCTCCCACTATGTACTGCGGTCGTGCCGCCATGTTCGTTTTTCTTTACGAAAGCGACAAGGATTGCCGTAGCTAAGTGGGGAGGACTAATGTAGATGTAAGGGATATTAAGGATCTAGGAAAGTCAGACTTCAGGGTTAGGAGGTCTGAACGACTTAAAGAGAAGTGTCATTCCTGCCTGGTCAATTCTGACAAAATTGTCGGGAGTAAGGTTAACAGAGGGAGGAATGTTGGTCTTACACGCCCCACAACTGTAGCCTATTGGAAGAAGAAGAAAAGGGTTGTCTGCGACTAAGACCTGAGGGCGAGGGGGTCTGGCGCAGAACAACAGCAGCAAGATGTTCCA